TACAGCCAGCAAAGGTTGTACCACAGGTTTTTCCATGGCTAGAATTTGGTTGTGGCTCCATCGGGCTTTATAGAACCGTGATAGAGAAAGACCAAGAGGTGAATTTGCATTATACTTTGTCAATTAGAGCAAGCCAGGCAGCCTTCTGTGTTTGAAAACTGCGCTGTTTTTTTTTAAATCGCCCACTAGAGGGCTGCAGCGCCGCAATAACCAACCTAGTTAAAATGAACAAATTGACACAAAAAAAGATTAGTTCATTTTAATGAACGAGATTTGATGACTCGAGTCTTTCAAAAGAGTGACTTTTCCCATCACTAGTAAAAAACATGTCAGTATTCAATTGCTACTCCTAAATCCATCCATTTTCACAATCTTTCCTGAGTATACAACCAGACCAGCCATATATACAGTATGAATATATATTATAATTACCATTATATGTCTAATTATTAAATGCTTATTCATACAGTAGCTTAATGTCCCTATCCATGAGTAAAATCTAAAATCTATTAACATCAGATTTGCAATATATTGAAGTATTAAAAGTTTGACACACTATATGAATAGTACAGGGCCCACACTGGTGGGGGGCCTCTACATAAACTATGAAGTTTAGCTCAGCTGATTATAATGGACAAGAACTAACAACAGCGGAATATAACGATATGCTGTACTGGGAGCTCTTATCAAATGAAATCTCTTCACACATGGTTTCAATGGTAAACCCCCACAAGAACGAAAATTACCAACAAAAACACTAGATTCTTAGGAGACACATTTTAAGTAACATTTGTATTTCAAACAAATGGCAAACTTATTAGCACATTTTAACAAAACTCCCTTCACCCTCATGCATCATGGGAGTTCTGAGGGAGGGGCGTAGGCTGAGTGTGGACAGCGGATTATTTACGGCGTCAACTTCCACTGGAAGCCTCTCAGAAGCATTTCAGCAGCGGAGAGTGTAACCTGCCCCACGTTAATGATTTGTTTTTAATTGTCCTTTTTGTGCTTCTACTACATTCTTCAAAGCTCTCTGTGGATCGCTTTCGTTTCTCGTCTTGTATCTAGCAACTACCACAGGGAGCATTTCAGAATAAGAGCGTTTTACCTGCCGGACTTTGTCGACACGTTTAGATTTTGTTGATTTGGTAATTAGTGCTTGCTTTTTGTGCGTCTACTATGATTAAGTAGGCTACGTAAAAATATTATTTTTGTCTGATTTAACTGTGTTTATTGTTGATTGGAAGTCTGTAACGGTATTTTATTTTGAAAATTTATCGTTTCTCTGCCGTTTCTGCGTCTCACTTCCTGCCCGGTTCATCTGCGCTGTGCTGCTTGATACTGGGACGCTTCCTTGACGCACTCAGTCCATGGACGCACTGCAGCACTTCTGGTGTAACGCACGACATGGGGTCATGTAAACTTGGTTAATATGACCTTGTAGTAGGTGGGCCCACAATGAAGCTCCGCCCCCACTGTGCTGAGAGTCTAGCTCAGCCTCTAACTATAGCACAACATCACAGCGCTGTAATAACGTTATGCTTTATTAAATGTCACATAATTAACAAAATAGATAATGTCAGTGCAGTGACTGTTACCTGACAGCTGGCTTGCCTCTCATTCTCCGGTGCTGGTAGTAACTCAGGCTGCTGAATGAACAAAAGACTCCGAGGACTCATGTGAGAACAAATAGTTCATTCCCGCTCCACCGTGGCCGAGCTGTCACATGACAAATTAATTACTCAAACCTAGGCTGTTTCTTTAATCTGCGTTATTGTCTGTACTTGTGTTCTTGTGGACTTGTGAAACGTCATCAGTCGCATATATATGTATGTGTGTGTATATATATATATATATATTGTTGTGAACTCAACCAGACGCACTTCAAAGAAGGTCAGATGGTGTCAAAAGAGGGAGGGAAGTTTCCCTCCCCGAGAGTTGACCTTTTTCACATGTAAAACCCAGAGACATCGCCTGGTGTTGGTAAGGACCGAAAAAGACTCAATCAGACAATGAATCGCTTAAGGATTGTGTATTCAAATAGCCTTAGTGAACCTTTCTAGCCGTAAAGGTGTCACTAAAGACAGTCCACAGGACAGGAAAAGGGGCGATCTGACCCCTTCTCCCTCCAGCAGGTCACCTCCAGCCTCAATCTGACTCTTTTCTCCCCACAGAACGGCTGAGCCATAAACCACCAATTCATTCTCTGATAACCTGTGCGATAAGCCAGGAATGCAGAGAAGAAAGACCATAAAAACCCCTGTTACTCGAACCAAGCAAGGTTCCAGTATAACTGTGTTTATTCTGTTTAAATAATAACCTTGCTAAGTGAGCAGCGGTGTTAGCCTCTGAGTTTAGTAAGTAATAACCCTGTTGTTATCCTTTTAGTGATGTTTGAAGACTAGCAGACCCATAAGAAAGTAATCTTGAACTAGTTTTCTAACCTCTTTCTGTGTTGTCTTAAGTCATTCCTGTTACTCCCTAGTAATTACTGTCTATTCAATGCTAACTAATGCTTTAGTTAAATGTTTCATATACAATTTCTTACTAAATTATCCATTGAAACGCTCATAGGCATCACCAGCCTCTCAGTTAAAGTGGAATGTCTACATGTGTGACCCGAGCGCCACCAAGGGGACAAGAAAGGTATAACACGCAAGTGTTTAAAACTCGGCTTCCACTGACAGAATTGTTAAGTAGGCCTAACTATCACCATGTAATTGCATAAACGAAATTTTACTGTCATGGTTACATCTAAATTGTCTCATGAGTTAAAACCAGTAACCAGCAAGTATACTGAAGACATGTAATCAAGGTTTGTTTACGTTTTATATAACCATTATAACCTTTTTCCATAGTGTTTAGCCTTGTTTTAACTGTCTTTATCCGAATGTTTAGAACTAAGTATTTTTCCAAATGTCGATATTGTGGAGAGAGAGATCAAAGAGAAATACGCGCGACGTATATTTCTTTATCCCAAAAAGTTAACACCTTAGCGACGTTTGGGAGACCATCCCCAAAATTGACGTCACTACCTAGCGGGATCAATAAAAAGGACCTGCGGTCTTTTGTTCCAGCTTCTTCTTGCCTCTTCAAAACTCTTCGTTTAAACTTTCTTGAAACTAAACGTATACGTTCTCTTAACTTCCTTTACTTTTGAAATTCCGATATTTTTGTTTCGTACTTAAATCTCCTTCAGACGAGCTGAGAAAGCTACGACCCTGAATTCCAAATTTCTCAGCGGGAGATTTGATTTTCTTTATTTGGTTTGGAGCTGCCTGTTTAACCTCAGCAACATTAAATAGCCGATATTCCCGAGGCCTCGCGAACCTACGGTGAATGTGTGAGTTTATTTGATTTTGTTGTTGCAACCTCATCCGACCGTTGTGAGCAACTTTGGACCAGAAACTCAGAAGCCTTCATTTATGGCCTTGAATAAATGAAACCACGGCTCTGACGACAGAACCCTGAGTGGCCCTATAGCGACACCAAACGAACTGAGATCAGAGCAAAAGCCTTGGCTGACAGCCCGTTGCTGCAAGCGCTTCCCACAAGAGGACTCCGGACCCAATCCACCGGTTTCAACCCAACTTGAAAACGCCACTGGGGTCGGGCCAGAACCGACTTCCCGAGCCAACCGGCAGTCGAGCCTCGCCACGGGACCTGCGGCAACGGTAGGGCAAAACAACAACTCGTTGGTGTTCTATGGGCTCCATCCACAGTTAATAACCCTTAGATTAGACAAATTAAATCTGCAACCCAATTTCGGTCATTCGTTCCCTCATACTCGTAGAATTCTCTCCCTCTACAATAAACTGAAACTCCATCGAACCTTACATAGGCTACCCTGTTTTAGTACCTCCTTGTTGTCATATTAACTGTTATCCCTGTAATATCACCACATTTACCCACAATTGTAACCTCTTCTGTTAATAAATTCACTTTGAGCACAGCGATGTATGTGTGTGTGTTATTCAGAATCTAGAGTCCCTATACACAGAACTTACGCTCAGATCTGAGACTGACTGATTGACCTTACGATTTCAGAATAACAACTAATGAATTAACCGAACTCGGTATAATTCTCAGGCTATACTCAAGGACCTAAAGCCTTGGGCGGACAAGCAAATCTTTAGGTGGTGCTCCTAATTTCGAGGTATAAATTGATATTCCTGGAAATATTAATTTTCATAACTGTATTAAAATTGATATTCCCGGAAATATTAATTTTCATAACTGTATTAAAATTTTACGTAGCCGAGATCTGCTACAATATGTGTGTGTATATATATATATATATATGTTTAGCCTATTGATTTTTGGATTTTGAGAAATTTTGGACCTGGGTTTTTTTAGAACTGGGTATCGATCTCCATCCCTAGTAAGGCCTATAGTGTCTTAGAAACCTTAGTTGACCCTTCGCTAAGCCACACTCCCTTAGTTACTGTTGGACATGTCCGACTTTTATCACGGTGCTGCCACTGTCTATTGCTTCATTCCCTGGAGAAATATTGTCTAATTTTTGGAAAAGGCGAACTCGGAAGGAAGCAGACTGTTTTGGAGTTGCATTGCATTTGAAGGTTGTTTTCAGGCTGTCAAACTGACACAAACTGACATGAAAAAAGCCTTGTGAACCCCCGTATTACCTATTACCTGAATATTGAGAAAGATGACTATTGAGAAATGACTCCTTTTGCACACGAGTCAATGGAGCGCAGCCGTGAAAGTGTCCAACCTCAGTTAGAACGAGTCCTTTACTGCGCTGTGATTGGTCAGCTGCGTATTTGGGCCGTGGCTTAGCGAAGGGTCAATTGTAAGATGATTACGTTGCACTGATTTTGAGATGTTAATTAACAGCTACGTTGTCCAGGTGGCTGAACACTTTACCAAATCATTAACTAATCACATAAACTACAATATAATATAATATTTATTATATATATATAACACTCACTAACAATGCAATGCAGTGTCTGATTTTTTTCCTGTTTTTCTCACAGTATACGAAATCTGGCAGAAAATGACGCCATCACAAAGCTGGCAGCTGGGGATTCAGTGTGGATCGGTCTGTACTGGGAACAACTGTGGTCTGATGGGAGCCCCTCTCTGTTTCAAAACTGGGCCGGTGGGCAACCAGACAGTCCAGAGCAGTGTGTCACCACAATGTTCAGAAACTCAGGACTGTGGTCAGATGATAACTGCTCCCTCACTTTCCCGTTCATCTGTTACTCAACAAGTAATGCATCTTATTTTTACTCACATAGTTTAATTGTTGCATTAAGGCAATTTATGTTATATATTAGCAAATATAGATCTTACCTTTAAGATCAGATTCACACTGAATTTAAATTTGTGTACATGTCTGTTGAAGCAGAAACAAGAATGTTCTTTTATTTTTACTGTACTTCTGCATGTCAGGCTAAATGCTGTATACAGCAGATAAACTTGCAGAATTCTAGTGATTTTATAAGCAGCACATAAAAGTTACGGTCCTAAAGATATGGCTTTCATTTCTGTAAGGTGAATGTTTGAAATCTATAAAAAGACAACCAAAAAAACCTCCAAAATCAAGTAAAATATAATGAATACTCTCGTTACAGAAATCTTCTATGGAAATGAATGTTTCAGAACAAGAAAAACAACAAATACCATACACATTAAAATGTGTAGCTTACTGAAATGTGTCCCATCAGTGTAATACTGTTTAAACTGAGAACATACAGAAGATTGAACCTACTGTACAAGAGTAAATCAGTTAACTGATATGCAAGTGGTGGTGATGGATCATTACTGGGAATTATGTCAGTGATTGTGTCAACATGTTGCACCAAATTACATTGTGTGTGTTGCATCAAACAATCTGATGAATATAAAATCTTTTTAGTGTGACTGTGTAAAACTAAATGTATTTTTCTAACATCCTCCATCTTTACTTCAAATCGTGTACTGTATTGGCCAACATATGAAACTCCTTTATTTCCCCATAGTTATCCAACTTAAAGTGCTATGAATTTTTAATTCTTCATTTATTGTTCATTATATATATATATATATAAAGACCTGCCCTCAATTGGCAACGACTTATCTCTAAACTCAGGAACCTTAGAAACAGCTGTAGAACCAGATATATGTTTAGACTGTTTTGCTTCCCTCAATCTTTACCAACTAACTCAAATTATTTCTTCATCTAAACCATCAACCTGCCTCTTTGACCCCATCCCGACTAGCTTGCTTAAAGATGTTTTACCCTTAGTCAGCACTTCTATACTACATATGATCAATCTATCTCTATCAACAGGCTATGTACCACAGTACTTTAAAGTAGCTGTAATTAAACCTCTTCTGAAAAAGCCCAAACTTGATCCGGATGTTTTAGCCAACTATAGACCTATATCTAACCTTCCATTTCTCTCTAAGGTCCTGGAGAAAGCAGTTGCTAAACAGCTGTGTGACTTTCTCCAGAGCAATATTTTATTTGAGGATTTTCAGTCAGGATTTAGAGCTCATCATAGCAGAGAGACAGCACTGGTGAAAATAACTAACGACCTCTTTATTGCATCAGACAAAGGACTTGTCTCTGTACTGGTTTTATTAGATCTTAGTGCTGCATTTGATACCATTGACCATCAGATCCTATTGCAGAGACTGGAACATTTCATTTGCATTAAAGAAACCGCTCTAAGCTGGTTTAAGTCCTATTTATCAGATCGATTTCAGTTTGTACATGTTAACGATGAGTCCTCCATGCGTGCCAAAGTTAGTCATGGAGTTCCTCAAGGATTTGTCCTCGGACCAATCCTCTTCACTTTATATATGCTTCCTTTAGGCAATATAATCAAGAAATATCCCATAAGCTTTCATTGTTATGCCGATGATATTCAGTTATATCTATCGATCAAACCAGATGAAACTCATCAGTTAGCTAAACTTCAAATGTGCCTTCAGGATGTTAAAACCTGGATGACCTGTAATTTTCTAATGTTAAACTCAGATAAAACTGAAGTTATTGTTCTGGGGCCTAAGCACCTCCGTGACGCATTATCTAAAGATATAGTTTCCCTTGATGGCATCGCCCTGGCCTCCAGCACCACTGTGAGGAATCTAGGAGTTATCTTTGATCAGGACATGTCGTTTAAGTCTCACATTAAGCAAATTTCAAGGACCGCCTTTTTTCACCTACGTAATATTGCGAAAATCAGGAACATCCTGTCTAAAAATGATGCAGAAAAACTAGTCCATGCATTTGTTAGTTCTTGCCTCTGTCGCCTAGTGCTTGCTCTTGGTGGGAACTGTTGAGCTTCTGTAAATAGCATCATAGAGTATGGTCTAGACCTCCTCTTTTATGAAAAGCGCTGTGAGATAACTGTTGTTGTGATTTGGCGCTATATAAATAAAACCGAATTCAATTGAATTGAATTGAATATGTCCTATGAAATGAACGCTGTGATGTGTTTAGGTGACATTCTTGCTAATACAAACGTGTGTCTTAAATAATTGTTTCTCTCATAGCCACCATTAAGTTTTGTAAAGAAAAGATACAAAGTGGATCAACCTGAACAGCCATATAGAGCATGAATAAATATTTAAGCAAAGTTGTTTGTTGATAAATTCATTCCCTTCTCTTCTTCTGTCTCAGCTCCTCCAAAAACCGAAGACTTCAGATCAATAGGACAAAATGAGTCCAGTATCACTCTGCAGTGGAATAAAGTGAACAACAACTTCAGCTTTATTCTCCAGTTTAATGATGCAGAGATCAACATCACTGCACCAGATGGAGATGGACCAGTAACTCACACAGTCTCATCTCTCACTGCTGCAACTGAATACACATTCACTCTCTTCTCTGTGTTTGAGGACATCAGAAGCAGCGGAGTAAACATTACTGCAGTTACCGGTAATATATGTCACTTTATTTCTATGCTCTGTATCTGCTTAGCGAGCCATCATCTGCTTTTCAGAGCACCAGTGTAAAACTAAGACGTATCTACTGGGTATAATATTCATTAAAGGAATATGCTTTAACAACATGCACTTTATTGCATGTTAATTTAACTCAGCATTGTTTAGGCCAACACTGTAAAATCCTTTTTATATTGAGAATAATTTATTTTTAAACTTTTGGTGCATTGTAATTATTCATTTATAGTGGAGTACATCTCTGTTGTCATTTAAAGTATGATGGATATGACTACAGAATGTGACATCTGGATCCAGAAAAAAAACATTCATACTCAGTAATACAAAGAATTGTTTCACTCGCTCTGTTCCTGACAGACAGCTTTAGTTTGTATTTATGTGAGGAAACAAAATGAACCATCTGAAACTGTCAGAGAGAACACTGTTACTTTTACTGACTGTCGTTTGTTAATACATGTTTAATTGCTCTGTTTGTCTCTCTCAGCTCCTCCAAACGCAGAAAACTTCAGACCAACAAGACAAGATGTCACCAGTATCACTCTGCAGTGGAACAAAGTGAACAACAGCGACAGCTTTATTCTCCAGTTTAATGGTGCTGAGATCGACATCACTGCACCAGATGGAGATGGACCAGTAACTTACACAGTCTCATCTCTCACTCCTGAAACTAGATACACATTCACTCTCTTCTCTGTGTTTGAGAACGTCAGAAGCAGTGGAGTGAGCATTACTGCAGTTACTGGTAAGATATTTGACTTCATTAATATGTATTTAACCAGGAATAACATTTTTCTTTTTGCAACTTTGGAAGCAACTGAACAGTTAATAGTAATTTACCAGCAGTAGTAGTTTAACCTTGTTACATTTGAACATTTTTCTTATTCCTTCTTCGTGTAATTAACTTCATGTTTTCTTTTCTTCTTGTTTTATTTCTGAGCACCTCTAAAACGACAATGTTAACATAACGTTACCTTGTCAGTCCTTGTTATTATTTTTACTTATTTTCGTTTTTGTATAAATTCAAAATGTATGCTTCATTTTATGTCCAACTATGATATATGATGAAACTGAAGTTTGTCTGTTTGATTTTAAAGAGATATTAGCAAATTATCAATACATCTTAGAATATTCTTCTTGCCATGTAATCAGACATCTTCCTAAAACATTTCTGACTCAGTACTGCATATATAGTAAGTGTTTCTCTGATAAACTGAGACAATACAGAAAATCCTGAAAACATATTTGTAATTGAACTGGTTCTTTTTTTATTGTCAGTGGTAAACAGTGAACACCAATTTACTGAGGCAGGCTGAAACTTGATCAGTCTCAAGCTGATAGACAAAGTGTTTAGGCACTAAACATTAAATCCAGCAGGGCTGTTTAGTTCAGTTTGGTGAAGCATCCATTGTTTCCAGGCTCTGTAGTCAGGATACAGTGACTGCTGCGATCATACAAAAATCTCACCAACGACTGAATTGTATTGTAAAACCCCACAGTACAGCTGAACTCAAATAAATATGCTTTTTTTTAGGAAATCGTCAGTACTACTTTGAGAGTACGCCACTGAACTGGACTGCAGCTCAGAGCTTCTGCAGACGGATCTACACTGACCTGGCTACCATAGAAACCTATACTGACGTCAATTCTGTACTCTACTACAGCTCATCAAGCTACAGAGGCAAGAAATTACACACTGTGCATAACATTAACATAGTGTATATATATATATATATACTGAATCATACGTACAACCACCAAGTTTTTGATAAGCTTACTATGATTAGATAAAATTATAAAATATTATAATGTGGAATGTGAAAGAACAACAATGAAAAATAGAGGAGACATAATTTAAGGGATGTTCAGTAAAGTTAATCACAATTTAATTCAATTCAGCAACTATTTTAATTCCAGCTGTTATATAATGAACATCTGTTTGAACAGGCAAGGCTTGGATAGGCCTCTACGGTGGGGGGCTGGAGATGGTCCCTGAGTAACAGCAGCTTCTATGGTGAAGGAGAGACAGTGTTTAGAAACTGGGCCCCTGGATATCCCTACAATTCTTATGGACAACAGAACTGTGTGATGCTTCAAAGCTTTTACTATTACTATTACTACTTCAATAACTACAATGGAAAGTGGTTGGACGTTGATTGCAACTACCAATTCTTCTCTGTGTGCTACAACGGTGAGTTTTCTTATAGTGTAAGAATTAACAAAGGGCTAAATAGATCTTCTGCATAGCACATTGTTAATAAATTCTCTCAATATATTTCCAGGTTCAGTAAATGGCAAATCATCCTTTGTAAAAGTCAACACACCTTTGAATTGGATTCAAGCTCAGAGATACTGCAGGGAGAATTACGTCGATCTAGCCAGGTACAGTGTGCATTGATGAAGACTCCAACACATACAATAGTTCAGTACTGAACCAACTACTTAACAACTACTATCTGTTGATGAAACTTGGCTTATTCAGTATTCTAACAGTTGATAGGAATCCCAAAAGCATTGGATGATCTTCCCAATTGTTTTATTTTTCCATGTCCAAATGTTGTATTTGATCCTTTGTGTCATTTGAATCCTTCCTGTTTTTGTTGATTTATTATTAATGTTTTATTATAGTTTTATAGTTATATATTTTTCATTGTTAGTTTTACAGATTTATGGCACTTGTAGCTGAGTCATGTAGTATGATAATTATGATGATGATCATTGTGATGATTACAAACCATATTAGTGACAGAAGTATTGGGCTGATTGTATATCTTAATTGTAAGATGATTATTCTGCACTGACTTTAAGATGCTAATTAACAGCTAAGTTGTCCAGGTGACTGAACACGTTACCAAATCCTTAAATAACCACATAAGCTATAATATTATATATGATGCACTGCAGTGTGATTATTTATTTTTTTTTTTGTCTGTTATGTTTTACCTCTTCAATTATTCTCCACCCACCCATGATGTGTATATGCTACTGTTTCTCTCACAGTGTGCGAAATCTGGCAGAAAATTTTGCCATTGCAAAGTTGGCAGCTTCTGACTCTGTGTGGATCGGTCTGCACCAGGAACAATTGTGGTCTGATGGGAGCCCCTCTGTGTTTCAATACTGGGCCAGTGGGCAACCAGACAGCACAGGGCAGTGTGTCACCACAGCGTTCAGAAACTCAGGACGGTGGTCAGATGATAACTGCTCCCTCTCTTTACCGTTCATCTGTTACTCAACAAGTAATGCATCTTATTTCTACTCACATACTGTATAAAGATTATTTTTTGCATTAAGTCAGTTTAGTTATATACAGTATCTCACAAAAGTGAGTACATGTACGCTGGGTTAACATTAAAATCTATAGCTTAATGAAATGTGTCTCAAATGTATAATACTGTTTAAATTAAGAACATACAGTAGAGTGAACCTACTGTACAATAGTAAATCAGTTAACTGCATCAATAAAGTGGTGGTGGTGGATCATCGTGGGCTGTGCGGTGGTGCAGTGGTTAGCACTGTCGCCTCACAGCAAAAAGGTTGTGGGTTCAAACCCCAGTTGCCCTGGCCTTTCTGTGTTTCGAAGTTTGCATGTTCTCTCCGGGTGCTCCGGCTTCCATCCAAAGACATGCAGGCTAGGTTAATTGGTCTCTGAAAGTATCCTTAGAGTGTGAATGGTTGCTTGTGGCCCTGACGACCTGTCCAGGGTGTACCTTGCCCACCCAATGTCAGCTGGGATTGGCTCCAACCCAATCGGAAGGTCGGCCTTGGTGGCTGTTCTGCCAGTGTGTGAACGCGTGTTCAACTGGGAACTGTTTTAGCACTTAGGCTCAGTGAATGAATGTGTGTGAATGATGACTGCAGATGTAGTGTAAAAGCGCTTTGAAAAGACTAGAAAGATGCTATAAAAATACGGAGCATTTACATTTCAAAATGCCACCTGTTGAAGCCATAGTAGGTGATTGGTAGCCTATTATTATTTTTATTAATGTAATGTTTTGAACAAGCAAGGTGATCTCGTTATTATTATTTTTGTTTCTAATAACATAGAAGTTATAGAAGTATTGTAAATTGTATCAGAACCTAATAGTTCATCCTCACAGGTAGTATTATACGGGGAAAGACTACAGCTTGCAAATTCTTTTCATATTTGAATGAGAGAGGAGGAGTGAAATAGTTTAGTGTCCAAATATGTTGTGGGAAACAAATTTAAGGTAATTTTAAAATAAAGTATCAAAACTAAGCTACATTAAAGACTCAAACAGAGGAAAAGAGAGGCTGCACATCCAGCCGATCAAACCAACCACACCTGAAGCAGTTGCAGCTGCTGCCGGAGGCTCCTGAGTAAAATCACTGCTGCGCGACAAAAGCGTTTAATTGATGTGAAGGAATGCAGTGATCAATCGGTGACAAGTGATGTGAATAGCAAATAAATGTACAGAAGAAGAAGAAGAAGTGTTAAATGATACCAGAAGATGAAACCAATGGAGATCCAAGCTTGTGGTGATAAAATTGCAAAATCACGCATGGCGCGTACAGACCTTTTTTATACAGTTTATGGTGCAGGCACATAAGGGGAAAAAAGGTGTGCTCTTGTCTTTTTTCTGTGTGTTGCTTGCGTGTTTGGCTGCAAGCAAAACTATACAAATAGTATTTTTTTGACTGGAGACATTTCGATTTTACTTGATACTGGGCTGTTTCGGTCGATAACATGGTATCAGGTAACAGGTATCGAGTAGGGATACCCATCCCTATTAAATCTAAACTGTATTTTGCTTGTCCTTCTTTACTTGAAATCATGTACTGTATTGGCCAACATACTGAACTCCTTAATTTCCCCATAGTTGTTCAACTTTAAGCCCTAAGAATTTTTAATTCTTCATTTAGTGTTCATTATATATGTCCTGTGAAACTCATACCATAATTTGTTTAGGTGACATTCTTGCTAATACAAATGTGTGTCTTAAATAATTGTTTCTCTCATAGCTACCATAAGATAGAAAATGGATCAACCTTAAAATCCAGATGGAACATGAATAAATATTCAAGCAATTCATTCCCTTCTCTTCTTCTGTCTCAGCTCCTCCAAAAACCGAAGACTTCAGAGCAATACAGCAAGCTGAGTCCAGTATCACTCTGCAGTGGAATAAAGTGAACAACAGCTTCAGCTTCATTCTCCAGTTTAATGGTGCAGAGATCAACATCAATGCACCAGATGGAGATGGACCAGTAACTTACACAGTCTATTATCTCACTGCTGCAGCTGAATACACATTCACTCTCTTCTCTGTGTTTGAGAACGTCAGAAGCAGTGGAGTGAACATTACTGCAGTTACCGGTAATATATGTCACTTTATTTCTATGCTCTGTATCTGCTTAGCGAGCCATCATCTGCTTTTCAAAGCACCAGTGTAAAACTAAAATAATGTTTACATTAAGAATGATTTCTTTTTAAACTTTTGTTGCATTGTAATTATTCATTTATAGTGGAGTACATCTCTGTTGTCATATAAAGTATGATGGATATGACTACAGAATGTGACATCTGGATCCATAAAAAAACATTCATACTCAGTAATACAAAGAATTGTTTCTCGCTCTGTTCCTGACAGACAGCTTTAGTTTGTATTAATATGGAGATACAAAATGAACCATCTTTAACTGTCAGAGGGAACGTTGTCACTTTGTTAATATAGCTTTCACTACTCTGTTTGTCTTTTTCAGCTCCTCCAAACGCATACAACTTCATTTCAACAGCACAAGATGAGACCAGTATCACTCTGCAGTGGAATAAAGTGAACAACCTCAGCTATATTCTCCAGTTTAATGGTGCAGAGATCGACATCACTGCACCAGATGGAGATGGACCAGTAACTTACACAGTCTCATCTCTCACTCCTGGAACTACATACGTATTCACTCTCTTCTCTGTGTTTGAGAACGCCAGAAGCAGTGGAGTATACCTTATTGCAGTCACTGGTAAGATGTTTGACTTCATGTGTATTTAACCTGGTTAAAAATTTTCATCTTATAACTTGGGAAGCAACTGTACAGTTAATAGTACTACAGCAGTAGTACTTTTTCCTTGTTACATTTGAACATTTTTCTTATTCCTCCTTCATGTAATTAATTAACTTGATGTTGTATTTTCTTTTTTCATGTTGTTCTGAGCACAATGTTAACATAACATTGTCATTATTTTTTACTTATTTAGTTTTTTGTATAAATTTAAAATTATTGCTGGGCAACAATTAAGCATTTTAATCGCTATTAATTGAATGATTTTCTGCTATTAATCTCATTGTTATGTGCAAAATTTAATAATAAATTCTAAAGCAGTGTATTTTAATTTAAATGTAATACTATATACATAGAAGTGCAATAACATGTGGTTTGCAAACACTTTCAACAAACAAGGTGCTTTTTACCAGCAGTATTCCCTTTACACAGTAGCAATAAAATATTTCTTTTAAATCTCAACTTAAACATTAATGTAATCAAATCAAATATCAAACCAAAGCTATTTGCCCCTGCCGGGGCATTACCTTTTATCTAGCTTGTTAAAACAAGTTACCATCAGAGTTCAGAGCCATAATCATAACGTCATAACAGGCTCCTTCTGAGCAACATTGTAACATTTTTTCTGAACACGTATCAGCAGAAACATTTTTCTTTTATCAGGGAGCATCAACAGTCTGTGTTCAGTAGCAAGTGTCCCTGTTAGAGTGAGGTGAGGTGGTCGAGCACAAGGCGTAGCAAAAAGCTCTCGCGACAATTTGTCTCACGCCCGCCAGCTTCCAAAGTTAAATTGTCTTGAACTTTCTATAGGCGACACGGAGCACAAATCATTGGAAGAGAGACTGATCCTCACTGTTTGTGAGTTTCCAGAATCTATTACTGTTTATTAAATAGGACATCAGCAGGAGGGAATTCACCTGGCAGAGCATCCCCGCAAAACTAGATGAAGGCCTATCAGGTAAAGTTATGTGATGTTAGCCTATAATTTTAACTTAAGTTAAACAGGCTACAGCTGGGTAGCACCCAGAAGCCATTGCCATGGTTACCATCCATAGAGCGCCTGCCGTTTACTTGCGGAGCGCTGTCTTACTTCTCCCACACGCTGCATTGAAGCCTCCCTTCGCTGCTTGTTTGGGTGGGTGATTTGCAGGCTGATCAACATCCCACCCCTCCTGTGACCCATGGTTTGACTGTATTTGGATTCACAGCCAGTGAGCAACGGACTTTCATAATCATAATGATAAAAACTGCATTAACGTGAGATAAAATAATTGTCACGTTAATTAATTAATGTGTTAACTCAATAATCACATGTTAACTTGCCCAGCCCTATTAAAAATGTATATTTAATTGTATGTTCAGTTATGATATATGATGAAATTGACATTTGTTTGTCTGATTTTCCAAGGATATTAACAAATTATCAATTCAACTTAAAATATTCTTCTTTCCATGTAACAATAACCATCTTTCTGAAACATCTCTGACTCAGTACTACATATACCCAAGTATTTCTGCAACAAACTGAGTCATGATACAGTGTGTGCTGCTAGAATACAAAAATCTCATCAACGAGGAAAATGTATTGTAAAACTCCACAGTAAAGCTGAACCCACCTGATTCATAGTGCCTCTTCATGTTCATTGTAAAAAAAAGTCTGCATGCTTTATAAAAAGTAAGTAATAAAAAACTGAATATGCTTTGTTTTAGGAAATCGTCAGTTTTACTTTGAGGCTACGCCACTGAACTGGACTGAAGCTCAGAGCTTCTGCAGACGGGTCTACACTGACCTGGCCACCATAAGAAGTCATGATGAAGTCTTTGCTGTACTCAGCACCACACCGAGCTACAGAGGCAAGTTCTCAATATTGGAAACATATACAAAACATAAACATAGTCTATAAATAAAATTTATAGAATAAATAAATTGAGTTGAATATACTGATGTATAATCAGATACAAATATAAAAGCTAGGCCACAACCAGGTTTTTGATAAGGTTACTATGATTAGATGAAATAACAAAATATGGTGGGTACATTTATTTGCCAGAAGGCAGCAGGGTGAAATGATCATTGGAATGTGAAAGAACAACAAAATAGAGGAGACACATAATTTAAGGGATGTTCAGTTTATTCATCTACATTTTAGGTCAATTCAGCAACAATTTTAATTCCAGCTGTTATATAATGAACATCTGTTTGAACAGGAAAGGCTTGGATAGGCCTCTATGATGACAACTGGAGATGGTCCCTGAATGACAGCAGCTTCTATGGTGAAGGAGACACAGGGTTTAGAAACTGGGCTCCTGGACATCCCTACCTTGCTATTGGACAGAACTGTGTGCTGCTCCAAAATTTTAGATATTTATATTTCTATTACTATGGCTACAGTGGAACATGGGTGGACGTTAATTGCAACGACCTGTTCTACTCTGTGTGCTACAACGGTGAGTTTTCTTATAGCGTAAGAACAAAAACCTAAATAGATCTTCTGCATAACACATTGTCAATAACTTCTCTTCATCAATATATTTCCAGGTTTAGTAAATGGCACATCATCCTTTGTAAAAGTCGACACACCTTTGAATTGGACTGAAGCTCAGAGATACTGCAGGGAGAATTATGTCGATCTAGCCAGGTACAGTGTGCACTGATGAAGACTCCAACACATACAATAGTTCAGTACTGAAGCAACTACTTAACAACTACTATCTGTTCTGTTGATTCAGCTTATTTAGTATTGTGACAATTGATTGAATCCTAAATAGATTATAAAATTTGTCCAACTGTTTTATTTGATCCTTTTTGTTATTTGAATCCTTCCCTTCCTGATTCTCTTTATTTAATATTATTATTTATTCATTCATTTGCTTGTAAGATATATATATTTTTCATTCTTAGTTTTATGACCGTAATGCACTTGGAGCTGAGTCACGTAGTATGTATAGTATTACTGATAGTACCGATAATAGACCTTAATTGTAAGATGATTATGTTTCACTGATTTTAGGTTTGTTAATTAACAGCTACGTTGTTCAAGTGGCTGAACACGTTATCAAATCCTTAAATAATCACATAAGCTTCAATATTATATTTCCCAACAATCACTAACAATGTACTGCAGTGTCTAATTTTCTTTTGTCAGTTATGTTTTACCTCTTCAGTTAAACTCAACTCACCCTTGATGTGTATATGCTACTGTTTCTCTTTCAGTATACAAAATCGGGCAGAAAATGACATCATCACAAACCTGGCTGCTGGGGACTTTGTGTGGATCGGTCTGCACCGGGAACAACTGTGGTCTGATGGGAGCCCCTCTATGTTTCAATACTGGGTTTATGGGCAACCAGACAGTCCAGAGCAGTGTGTCACCACAATGTTCAGTTACTCAGGACTGTGGTCAGATGATAGGTGCTCCCTCCCTTTACCGTTCATCTGTTACTCAACAAGTAATGCATTTTATTTCTACTTACATAATGTATTACAGTTTTTCTCGATTGCTTAAACACATTTCTCAAAATGTTGCCTCTTTTTCTCAAAACTATAAACACAAATCCAAAACTTCTCACCCAATTCCCCAAACATCCTATTTTCAGGTCTAAATTAAGCTTTCCACTCAAAACCATTCAATCTTGCTGAAAAACCAAACTTTGCCCTCAGAAACACACACACACATTATAACACAGTCGTACACTGGTGAGATGAATTCAAAACAATACTTCAAAAACTGGTGCTTAGTAATGTTGCTTTTGGATCTCCCCCTCAAAAACACAACAAAAGAAATAACAAATGTAAACATTTGCACATTTTTTACTCCTTAGTGTACTGTACAGTCCAACACACTAAACAACAAATTATTCTGCCCCAGCGTCCTGCCTTTGGTCTGGGACAGGCCAGATTCTTGTTCTTCACCTCCTTCTCCTCTCCCTACTCCTCTTCCCTCTACCTCCTCCACCTTCTTCTCCACCTCCTCCTCCGCCCTCCTCCTACTCCTCATCTTATTCCTATCCCATCTCCTCCTCCAACTCCTACTGTTCCTCTTCATTCACCTCTTACTCCTCTCCATACTGCTCTTCCTCCTCATCTTCCTCCTTCTCCTCTCTGGTGTCCTACACCTCTTCCTTCAGATTTCTCTGTGTCCATTGTTCCAAAACTGGATGAATTGACTCCGGCCCTTTTATCTGTCTATTGAAGCTTCTGATTGTTGTGTTATCAGTTTTGACTGTTTGTGTTTCCACCTGGGTAGCTGTGTGCTAATTGAGCTCAACTTGTGCTGATTGAGTGAATAATATTGAATGTCAATGTTTACTCAGTGACCACATGGTGTAGGAAATGAGAAATGTAGGGATTTGTGCGTAGAGTTTCGAGAAATGGGTTTGCTTTCTGTAAAATAGCGTTATGGTTTTGAAATTTTAGTTCAATAGCCTGGACCCTTCATTAAGCCACGCCCGAATACACAGCTGGCCAATCACAGTGCAGTATAGGACTCGCTCTAACTGGGGTCTGACACTTTCATGGCTGCGCTCCATTGACTCTAATGCAAAAATAGTCATTTTCTAGCTTTTTTGGGTTGTATTTTTCTAAGACAAGGTCAAACACTGTTCCTGGGGCAGGTTGAAAGGAGAAGTACGATTTATTCTCTTTGAAAAACCTAAAATAAATCCTGAAAAATGTCGGCTGTGGATCTTTCCTAATGTAATGTTAAGTTAGCTAACGCTAGCTAACTTCCTACTGAATGTAACGTAATAAAGCCCTGCTGTTCTGCTTTTTAATGATAGTAATAATGAATAGAGGCCTGCCCAGCTTTACAGGAACAGTGTTGATCGTTCATATCGTTGTCTTTTGTCTCAATTGTCGGGGGATACGGTGGTTCCCCTTCGAGGGAACTCGAACTGCGTCGGTGACGACACTATGGGAACGCCTCTGGGCGTGGCAGGGCTGAACTATGAATGAAACTACTCCAATCCTATTGGTGTTAATAGAACGGTAGTGTGTGACGGCGTAACCGGAGGGGGTATATAATCACGCCGGCACACAGGACACATTAGCTTTTTTCTATTCAGCAGGCACTCTGGCATGTTTGAGACTACTCAGAAGAAAGCTACCACAAGACGAAATTACCTGGAAGGAGAAGCAGAAGAGATGGCTGGTGAGCAGTTCAGGCAGTGTGTCTTTCCATGCCGCGCTACATCACTCCCTCTCCCACACTCATGCCCTGTGTGTTTCCTGTCTGGGGATGCCGCATGCCCAGGCAGCTCTCGACGGGGCTGCTTGCGGCCATTGTGAGGCCCTGCCCCTGAGGGTGCTGAGGTCCCGTGCGGCTCTCTTTTCCGTAGACGCCGGATGCGCTCTCCCCGTGGCTCGATGGCCGGCGGTCGCTGAGGCGACGCGGCGGCTTCGGTCATGGGGCGCCCAGCGCTACATCTCCGAGGACATCAGAACCCGTTCCCGTTCCTCGTCTGCTGATTCCGCCTCTTCTCTTCCCTGTTCGGGAGTCCGTCTCTCGGCTTCTCCCGCCCGAGGTATGAGTTTGGAGAGGTTTGCACAGTCTGATCATCAGACCGCGCCCAGCTATGAGAGGCGGGGCAGTAACCTCAATGAGCTTTCTGCAGCCCGAGCGCCACCCCCCACGTCGATACTTCGCCATTCAACAGACCGAGAAAAAAACAAAAAAGAGAGCTGCTCTGCACGGCTGACTGCATCCCCTCTGCTGGACTACAGCAGCGTGACAGAAATTAAGCAGCACGTTTTGGAACGATTCCTCGGGAGGAGGAAGCACTCGCGAGCTATCTTTCTCCCACCTTCGCTTCATTCCTTCAGATGCCGGCGCTCCCCACCAAGCCGTGTCAGACGACATACGCTTTGGTGGGCAAGACCTACATGGCAGCGGGTCGAGCTGGTGCAAGCCTGCACACCATGGCCGCCTTGCAGGCGTACCAGGCCGATCTTCTCAAAGACTGTGACCTAGGGGGAGGTCCCTCTGAGAAAGACCTGACTGAGCTCCGTAGAGCTACGGACTTAACACTCTGTGTTACCAAGGAGACCAGTGGCTACGGAACGCCATCTGTGGCTCAACCTCTCGGGCATAAAGGGGAAGGAGAAGGCTTTTCTCCTGGATGTGCCCCTCTCTCCTACTGGCCTGTTTGGTGAGGCAGTGGATGCTGTCGTCAGCAGGTTTCAGCACGCCAAAAGGCAGGGAGAGGCGTTTGAGCAATATCTCCCCCGCCGGTCTGGGTACAGGACGGCGACGGCTGAAGGGAGATGAGCTCAGCCCTCGGCTAGCTCCTACCGCTGGAGCCAGAAGCGAAGCGTCGCTCTCGCCCACAGCCCCCTGAGAAGACGGGCCTGAGGACCGTCATTCAGTCTCGGCGGGCTCTGGGAAGAGGTCCTGAGGTTTCGAGTAGGGGGGCCCACCCCCACCACCCCCCCGAGGGAGACTGACCGAGGTCCCCATCCCTCGTGGCAACAGGCTTCCCGCCGTCTTGGCGCTCGGGACACGCTAGCCGCCAGCTCTCAGCAGTCTGCCCGCCTCGAGGGGTTGCAGCTGCTAAACGATTGGGGTCACACACCGTGGGTCGCTGGTGAGTTTCCCTGGCGGTTCTCCGCTTCAGGGTGCCACCGGGGACCTACACATAACACCGGCCACCAGCCCTGAGGGGTTGGTTCCCTTAGCGGATTTTGTAGAAGCATGGCGGAGCCTTGAAAACATTTCCCTGTGGGTCCTGCGCACCATAGTGGATGGCTACAGGCTGAAGTTCCGGGTCCACCTGTTTTTGTCAAATTATAACACTATTCATATGAACATTAGGCCAGTTGTTCACAGGACGATAGTCATTTATGACTGCTTTTGTCACACTCTTGTCTTTGTCGGGTCATTGTTTATTGTCACCCAGTGTTGCAGTTTGTTCTCGTGTCTCCAGCCTTACTCACCATGTCTCCCTGTTACCCTGCTCAGTTTTGGATTCTGGTTTTCACCCTTTTGGATTTCTGTTGGACAGCCTTTGTTTTTGGACTCTGTCATCAGCCACTCAGTTTGTAAGTGTGCTCGCCTGCTCAACCCTGCCTTCACCAAAAAATCGTGACAGCTTTAGCGCAAATCACTGAGTAAGCCTTGCAGAGATAATACTATAAACTTTCCATTTGTTAGCTATTGAATCATATTTCCCTCAAATGCAATTATACACATGTTCATTGTGTAAATCCCTACATGCTAAATAGAGTGACCAACAATCACAATAACTTGTCACACATATATTAGATACATAATAGTTACGTGGTATTGTTGTAAAGTTGTCAGATGGATAGACTTAGGCCAGATGGGGAACAATTCAATTTCCTCACAAATTAGAGCAACCCAACGCAACTGCTGTACAATTTAGCTCACAGGCGAAACTCATAACCAATCAATTCTCAAACACATTTATACTACAAGGATAAGACTCAGCTGTGGAATATGGAGCATGCAGGAGACAGACAGGGGCAAAAGTCCATCCAAGGACGGGCATAAGTGTGGGGTGGCATGGTGAGGGGGAGAGGAAGAGGCAGAGTGTGCAAAGAGGATGAGGAAGAGTCAAAATATCTCGAGAGATACAGGCAAGTTACAGACCATGTAATCAACCTTGGCCTGAGTATGATCGGAGAGTGCAGCCTAATCTGGGCCGGTCCACAGTGTTGTCAAATAAAAGTTTGGTTGAAAGTATAGAGTGTGCAATGGCTGACATCAATACTATGCAGCTGCCTAAATATACAAAGTTATTGATTGGACAATATTACATACTGGATAATTATCACACTTTCAGAGTACTCTATCATTTGACAAGATGTCTTTGTATTTTTACTGTCTTGGTCCGCATTGATAAAGGAAGCTTTTGTTTTGATCACAATGATTTAGTCATTGATGGCTTTATTTACATTTCAAACATGAGTTAATTCTTTTGATTGAGTCATCACCTTTTGCAGGTCACATGGAGTGGTGTGCTGAATGTACCACGTGATGTCGGTATTTCCCCATAGTTGTCAAACTTTAAGTCCTATGAGTTTTTTATTCTTCATTTATTGTTCATTATATACAGTATGTCCTATGAAATGAACGCTGTGATGTGGTTAGGTATAAAATGTGACATTCTTGTTAATACAAACGTGTCTTAAATAATTGTTTCTCTCATAGCCACCATTAGGTTTTGTTAACAAAAAATACAAAGTTGATCAACCTAAACAGCCAGATGGAGCATGAATAAATATTCAACTAAAGTTGTTTGTTGATAAATTCATTCCCTTCTCTTCTTCTCTCTCAGCTCCTCCAAACGCAGAAGACTTCAGACCAATAAGACAAGATGAGACCAGTATCACTCTGCAGTGGAATAAAGTGAACAACAGCATCAGCTTCATTCTCCAGTTTAATGGTGCAGAGATCAACATCCCTGCACCAAATAATTATTATGGACCAGTAACTCACAGAGTCCCATTTCTCACTGCTGCAGCTGAATACACATTCACTCTCTTCTCTGTGTTTGAGAACTTCAGAAGCAGTGGAGTGAACATTACTGCAGTTACCGGTAATATATGTCACTTTATTTCTATGCTCTGTATCTGCTTAGCGAGCCATCATCTGCTTTTCAGAGCACCAGTGTAAAACTAAGACGTATCTACTGGGTATAATATTCATTAAAGGAATGTGCTACTTAACAACATGCACTTTATTGCATGTTAATTTAACTCAGCATTGTTTTGGCCAACACTGTAAAATATTTTTTTACATTAAGAATGATTTATTTTTAAACTTTTGGTGCATTGTAATTATTCATTTATAGTGGAGTACATCTCTGTTGTCATTTAACATGTGTTGGATATGACTACAGAATGTGACATCTGGATCCAGAAAAAAAAAACATTCATACTAGTAATACAAAGAATATTTTCACTTGATTAGTTTGTATTTATGTAGGGATACATATTTAACTTTAACTTTGTCAATTTTACTGACACTGTTTAACTGCTCTATTTGTCTCTCTCAGCTCCTCCAAACACAAAACAATTCAGACCAATAGGACAAAATGAGTCCAGTATCACTCTGCAGTGGAATAAAGTGAACAACAGCGTCAGCTTTATTCTCCAGTTTAATGATGCAGAGATCTACATCGCTGCACCATACGGAGATGGACCAGTAACTTACACAGTCTCATCTCTCACTGCTAGAACTAGATACACATTCACTCTCTACTCTGTGTTTGAGAACATCTTAAGCAGTGGAGTGAGCGTTACTGCAGCCACTGGTAAGACTTCATTAATGTGTATTTAACCAGGCATAACATTTTCTTTTTGCAGCTTGGAAAGCTACTGGACATTTAGTAGTACTTACCAGCAGTAATAGTATTTTGCTTTTTCCACCTGAAAGTTTTTCTTATTCCTTGTTCATGTTAAGTTAACTTGATGTTGTCTTTTCTTGTTACATTACATAAAGTTACCTTGTTATTCCTTGTTATTATTTTTAATTATTTGCATAAAATAAAAATGTTTTATTTTAAAAGTTATGATATATCATGCCACTGAAGAGATTTTAACAAATCATCAGTTAATTTTAAAATATTGTCTTTCCATGTAAACAAACACCAAACTTCCAAAACACCTCTGACTCTTTGTCCTACAACCAAAGGCCCTAGTAAGTATTTTCATTTGTTAAATTCATTACATGTCTTTGCCTTGAGTAACCATTTCATAAATGTATTAGCTTGATTGTAATTGTAATCATTATCGCAACTGTATTATTTTTATCTTATGTTTCTTCTATTTGTTTTTCATTTTTTACTGTGTTTGGATCTGCTTTAACTGTTGCTAAAACATAAATTAGTAAGTTTTTCCTAATATTTATATAAAACCAGAGAATAAATTATTGAAAACCCTACTTTACAGTTCTATAAATACATACAATTTAAATATGATTTTACTCGTTTTCAAATTAGTATTGTGTGCAGAAAATACATGTGACATGAATTATATATTGTATATATTGAATGTAATAACTAAAAGTATAAGGTCATGCAAAAGTATTTATTGTAATTATACTACAAATGATGTTGAATACTTATTTAAACCATTACCATGTGTATTATTTTATAACACATATTTATGTCAACAGATTATATTCTTGCCACGAACGTGGATTTGGAGTCATTGACTTATCTGTCAGACTCGGAGTTGCAGAGTCTGTTGCAGGATGAGTCTCCACTAACTGCTGTTAGTTTGTTTTTCATTGTCATGACTACTTTGTATTCAATTTTAATTCAAATGATCAACTAATTATTTTATTCAGTATTAACGTTGTTTTTTTTCTGTTGTGGGTGTGTGTGGCTTTTTTAAAATCTAGCTCTTCAACCAATATGGACTGTCACCACAGTTTTCTATGAAAGTGTTGAGACGTGAGCTCAGGAAAGACAAGATGAACTGAAGAAGAATGGATCTGCAATGCAACATTTTGGAACTTTTTTCACACTAATTTGACTTTTCACAGTTTGAATTGCTTTCCTTGAAGCGAATGAAAAAAACTGATGATAGGAAAGACTTGTCATCAGATTCCAGTGAAATGTAGTTTGACCTCATTATTCTGCTTTGTATTTACTTATACTAGTACTACTTAATACTTCTTCTGCTATGAGGATATGTTTGTTGTGTGTATTGCTACTATTGCTTCTTTTGCTTAAAGAAATGTTTTAAGACATATAAAAACATTCTTCCAACTTGTGAGATGTGTGAATTTCTGATGTTTTCCCTCCTAATACAGTTCAGTTACATTGTAAAAAAATCCACTCCTTCTCCCAAGATAAAAAGTCCAGAAGCAGTGAATATGCAAATATTTTTCATTTGGAAAGTTTAACTGCTGGACACAAGACACCTCCTGCTTAATTGCATATTGGACCTAAATTCACTTTCACACTAGTTCTGATATCTCAAAATCATGCTCACATATTAAATGTAAAGATTTAATATGAGGACAGAACCTTTTTGCTCAAACATTCAGGTAAATTGACTATAAGCAAAACACAAAACACATTTTTGAATGAAGGTTTCTTTAAGTAGTGTCATAACAAAATAAAAATTGCCTGAATAAATCTGTTGACTAAACTTTCTATCCTCCCAAAACTATATTTGCATTGTAGGCTTGAACAAAAATGATCAGCATCATAAATAAATCATCATCATAGCTACAACATCACATGACAGCTATCAACACTACCTAGCAAAGCTTAACATCAGGAAACACATCAGGAAACGCATGCCAACCTCAGTTTCAGAAGGTTCCTCATCAGGGACGTGCACAGGAATTTTGAAGGGCAGTTGCTCTGACCTGAAAAAAGGCACTAAACACAGTATCCAAAATGTATTAACAATATAAATGTCACCAAAATACATATGAGAAAAAGAGTTCCTTATATTATTGTTTATTGTTTTTTAATCATTATTATTATTTTTTTTTCCTTTTTTTTATTTGAAAATAAATAATCTAGATTGAATTGACAGATGGGGAAAACTCGCTTCTAATAAAATATTAAATAAAAAAACGCTTAGATTTCGGAAAAAATACAATCCTTTTTAACCTTTTGGCTTCCCGTACATTCAGTTGCGCTTCTAGCTCGTATTCACTTCTGTTGGTACGTATCACGTATGGTAACTGGGCAAAACTACGCGTGATTTGTTGTAGTATGATTGCATAAAGGAAGGAAACAGGAATTCCGGAAGGGAACAGAATCGACTGACGTGCAGGCAGCGCTGCAGCAGTGCAGCCACTTAAACAGAGTTTGCCCTTCCCCTACTGACTTTCACTTTCGGTGCCCGAATGGAAGTGAATGAGGACGATTATTTTTTTATTTTATTTTTTTTCTCGGAAGGGCGAGTCGGAAGGGCAACTTGAGTCAGGAAAGGCAAACGGGCAGTTGCCCGGGCAACCAGAGCAACCCCCCTGTGCACGTCCCTGTTCCTCATCATACTTTCACTGAGGACGTGAGACAGAGCCGGCCCTAGACCTTCAGGGGCCCTAATCAAAATTTAGTTGGAGGCCCATATGACACAGAAACAATGGCTCTTGTTTTAAATAATAACAATTAGTTATTGTTGATGTAGGCCTAAACTTACCAGCCCTGTCAACTTCTTGGATAAAAACAATGATTGAGGTGGAGACTGATGGACCCGGTATGAAATAATTAAAAAATATAAATATATTGATCAATAAATTGATCTTATAATTCAAGACAATCTACCAGAGTTTGATGCTGTCTCCTTTTAAAAAGTGACTTTAGATAAGATGTCTTTTCAACACTGGCAGCTTTGGAGGAGGCTCCATGATGTTTCTCAACAATCAGTTCTTTAAAACAGCTACTACACACTCCCTACCAGACAGATTTGATATATAATGAAAGAACAGGGCATCTCTATAGGTTTAACTAAAACACATAACCTACCAGCAGAGTCAGCTTCTTGGGTTATATGACCTCTTGAAACCTGACCTATCTGGTTTTGTTCTGTTAAATGCTTTAACGTTATAACTTTAGATGTGAACATCTCAGCTCCAGAGATAGTTAGATAGAAAAAAGATAGGCTAATGGCTTAAATTGAAGAAGACCCATGTCCTAATAACACTATTAACCTAATCAACTGACTTTAATAATACAAGTTAATCCTATATTATTAATACTATACTACGTTTATGCAGTTTGTAAAAATTGTGATGCTAATTTGCATGTTAGCAAGCTATAGCGTTAGCATTGTTGATACCAGCGTGGCTAACTAAGACTAATGTATGACCTTTAGTCCAGATTATCTAAAAATACAGGCATAGGAAAACAGAGCCTGTGGCCTTACGTACCTTTATCTTCTTGCCTCCTCTCTTCTATTGTCTTTTTACATGTCAGGACAAATATGATCTTCTCTTGATCTCTCTAAGCCTGATGGACCCAGCACAACAAATAACCACTATGCTTATTATGGTGCGTAATATAAAAAGCTGTCTTTCATTTTATTTTTCACCACTAGCAAGCAGTGACTGTAGGGGGCCCTCTGCTGGCCACGGGGCCCTATGCCGCAATGGTCGCTTAGTGGCTGGGCCGGTGTTCTGACGATATATGCTGCCTTGTCGAAAAATGCTACCTTGTGTGTTCCCTTTTCCAGTCCCATAAAGTTATAACTCTCACAGTATTATGACATATTCTGTTTTTTTGATGACATTGTAACATCATTTCAGGGGTAGCGTATTCTGATGGACTCCCCTATCAAATAATGCTCCCACTACAGAATCATTTTATATTGCACCACTCGACGGCATGCCCAACAGCAAGGTTGCACAGAATTATGGGCGTGGAAACAGACCACGCTTGTGGGTCATGTGCATGCGCAGAACCGCTAAGTAGCGGTAATGTGAAAACACAACAGACTGCTGATTGGTCAGAGAGAATCGTCACTATTCACTGCATCATCATTGCGTGCGCCAGACAGAGGCCAGCAACAGAAGGTTTTATATTTTACGGTTTCATATGGAATTTCATCAGTAAATCCACTTTTGAGAAGTTTTGAGGTGAGAAATCAGCTGTGTAGATTTCAAATTGTCGTATAAAAGGTTCAAGACTTGGGCCAGATGAGAAAGCTTGAACTTTTACCAACATTTTTATTATCAACAAAAACAGACACCAATTAGATTACAAAAGTTCCACCAGAGTGTGTCAGAGATCGGTGCAAAAAGAGCCCCATTCTGTTACCAGAACAGAGACCCGAGTCGACATGAAAACCATGTAACGACTGACTTTCACCTCCTTTTGGACCTCCTTTTATAGCTCTGTTTCTTGGCTTCACATCATCGCTTGGCTCTCTTTCCTACTGCACCTGAATCTGGGAAAGTCCCAGAATTTCAGGTGCCTAAGCATTTGGTGGGAAAGTCCCTGACTGCCTGCTCCTCCTCTCTGTGTCTTTTGCATGCTGTTTAAAAAGTTACAACAAACTTAATGTACTCCAGTGTTTCAGTGTTTTCTTTCAAATGTAAAACTGCAGGGTTTTAAGCCAGACAATTGCATTAGAATGTTAATTAAATCATTGTTTATCTCCTCTTCTGTTATATGAACAAAACTGTTAAACTGTTTTAACTTCTTCATAGACTCCTAAGATTGGGTGTCGACCATTTTGGAGACAACCCCTGTTGTGCTGTATGACTAGTTGGTAGAGCATGGACTGTGTATTCCTGTAGAGCAAAGGGGTCTGGAGTCAGCGCTCTTTTGTTCGAGCAAACGCAACACAGAACAGTAAGGTACACCCTTCCTAATTGGGTGACGAAGAAGTAACCAAACGACCAGTGGCTATGGTCCTGAGCCATTTGGAGGAAAAAGGACACGCCCACATACCTGGAGGATATTAACATCCTATTTTGATAGATTCGGGACTGTAAGCTGTGAATCTGTGAGGAAAAGCAACTTTCCAGTTCTCTGCTGGGGGCGGCAGTAACTTGGTGACTGTAAACTGTAGATATTTACAGAGAAGCTTCTTCGGTCCACTGCAGTGTTTTTGTTTGTTCTGTCATCTCTTTATTCACTCATTTCTGTAATTAAATCTTTTGTTAATATTCATTGGACTGAGCCTCCGCTTGATCATGCCATTTCTTCCATATCCTGACTTTTGTGGAATAAACTGGTGGCATTCTTACTGTGATGGACTATATTGATGTATGTTTTGTAATACAATTTTCACAAAATCTGCTTCTATAGGTGTTTTTGTTGCTATCTTACTGTGCTCCCAAAGCACAAGAGCTTGCTCACACACGTGCTACTGCAGAGCCTGGGCAGTTAGATACAGAAAGGAGCACACACACTCAGAGCTATAGAGTTTTAACACTGTGATCCTAACTTTACACTATAAAATAACACTTTAAATGATGAAAATGTAGACCACCATCGCTCTAGTAATTAATGATAACAATTTAGGCTATAATGCTCCAAAATAATTCACAACAGAATATTGACAGTTTTAGAGAAGTGATGGCGGAACAAAAATGTGCTTGAATATTGTCGGAGTTGAGGAGCTCCGCAAGTGGCGGCGGGGGATGTCTGTGCCAACCCGCAGGAGGAGCATGTGAGGCCGGCCAGCCGCCCGCTCACAGAGCCCTCTGCTCCCACCGTCACACAGACCGCTGCAGCAACAACGGCAGAGGAAAACACAGCTGGAAGGTTTTCATACTGTTAAACAACAAGTCAACAAAGTGGGGCAGGCTAAAAGCTCCACTGCCGAAATGGTCCTGAGATCCTTCCAGTGTGAGTTGACGCAGGTCTGAGGACCGATACAAACCGCTGCGCAGCCGCGGCGCACACACCACCTTTGTGAGTCCGACGTAAGACACCCAACAGTCTTGCCTTTGAAGTCAGTGTAGGACGCAGGCAGTGAGGCAGCTGACTTGCTATGTTGACAGAGCAACTGTCACTTGTTTGATGGAAGGTTGTGGAAAAGTGTACAGATTGCTATGTTCTTGTAATTTACAACAACTACCACTAGATGACACTACTGTGCCATGTTGGAGTGATTGCATCCTCAAACACATTAAGCCAGGGTTCTTTCAAGTTACCCAGCACCATTGCTCTAAAAGTTGCTCCGTGTATCATCAGCTTTATACACAAAAATGTACTCTGATAAATAAATCCCTAAACTGGAAAATGTTTTCTACCTTAATACACCTGTGGCTGCAGTGTGAATGTTAGTCATCCAAAGTAGGACTGTCAGTGTGTATCATGATGCACAGAGTGGGCAGATAAATCCTCCACAGATGTCAGGGGCTGATTTTACCTGTTGCTGATTGTACCTGTTGCTGATTGTACCTGTTGCTCACCAGTGACTCTGTTTGGATCTCTGCCTGATCACTGAAATGTTTGTCATGATGGGAAACAACACTGAGCCAAATTGTTCTTTCCTCCCAGTTTTAACAAACATACTCTAAAGTAAGTGCTCTATTAATACTTATGACTGGTCGTGCTTACTTTTACCATAATTACTATCTATTCTTGCTGTTAACTACATCACTATTCATAGTTTTCAGTCCTTTTTTGTTTTTTGAGGGCAAAACAACTGACCATAGACCGTAGAGACGCCACAGAAGCAGTCAAATTTTATTTGCATCACCTTTTAACTTAAGAAAAAGAAAGATATGAACACAAACTGCCGTGTTGTGCATATCCGATCCACGTAATGTTACAGCATCCGCTGCCGCATTTCTACCGTTAAAAACTGCAAGGTCCCTGCCGCCGCTCGACTGCGGAAGCCTCCTCCTCAATTACTAAATCCGAAAGCACAACAACCATCCAGCATTTACAGCAACTCAAAGTAACAGTGTATCACCTGCTTCCTGGCGTCACGTGAAAGCTGTGAATTGTACTACATGCACTTGCAACACAACTTTCATGTCCTTGTATCTTTATGTAGCGCAGTATTGATATTGAACCCCATAGTAACATGGACAGGTGGAGACAGTGTGTTTATGAGTGTTAATCTGTGTGTGGTCTCTGTATGTGTCATTTGCCTTGATTACCTGTGTACAACCCAATGGTTTATTAATCCATCACAGACAAATCATTTGCATAATGAGGCAGTAATGCAGTGAGAAATGTAAAAAGGAAAGGCAGAAATAAATACCATTGGGGAAATAAATAGGGTAGAAAATGCAAAAGAAGAATAAAACAGACAAAAATATTAAAACGCACAATAAATAAATACATTTAAAAAAGAAGTAATTAATAAATAAAGATAATAACTGACAATAAATAAATAAGGTAAATAATACAAAGTTTAATAAATAAAGAAGCTAATTAAAAGCTATATACATTTATGTCTCATTGTATAATTTAATTACTGCCTATATTTATTTATTAACTTTATTTTTTGTGCATTTAATAGGATGCTTATTTATTTATTTATGTATTTATTTCTTAATCTGTCAGTATCAGTCCTCCATCACATACACATGTACGTATATATACAGACATGCACTGCACATCCACTTATATTTATCGGTAAAGGAAAATAAAATAAAATAAAGTAAAATGTACAACATTGTAAAAGATGCTTGGAAAAAGGAACACATGATCCATAAATACTTCATTGGTTGTTTTTTTGTGATTCTTGATTCTTTTTCTTTGACACTGATTATTTTTTTTGTTTATTAATAAATGTTTGTTTCTTTATTGATCCTAAACATAAAATTACTTCTACATACTACTGACCTATGGCACACACACACATACACAGCTTTATTTATTTTATTTTATTTATTTGATGAACCATATAAATTTAATTCACAGAACAGACACAAACACACACAGTTATTGTCCTTTTATTTATTTATTTTATTTAAACACACACACATACACTTTTACTGTTTTATTTATTTAATGTTTTTCATTTAATAAACTGCATGAACTTAATTGTTTTAAGCTTTGGCAATATTGTTCTTCATGTCATGTCAATAAAGCAAAATTGCATTGAGAGAGAAAGAGCGTCAGAAAGAAACATTAAAATCTATATTCCAGTTGAAATCTGGCAAAATTTGAGAAAGGTCTGGCTGCAGACATCCACTTGGGAGTTGCTTCCGGTGCAGGATCCGCTCGCAGGTCTGCTCCAATGTCAGGACATGAAATAACCATAAATAACACACTCGATGCATTCTTGGACTTTTTTGCTACACTTCAAATCATGGCGATGGTAGATGACTGTTTAGCATTATCCAAAACTGACAGAAGTCTGAATGCATGGATCTTTGTATGTGTTTGCCCTCAAAATAGCTACTGCTATCAATATTGTACATCTAAATCACACAAATAAGCTACTGTGTGTTCGGCTTCATTAAACGTTTTTGGTAAAGCATTTAGCAAGGGCATAGGTTTGCATTTGTTAATATTTTGACTATGACACTTTGGTTGATTATTTGTTGTTTATTTCAGGTTGTTGGATGTAGCTGTTTTCACACTTAAACAGCATACAAAGACTTGGCTGGCTGTTATTTGAACTGAAGTTGATGTACTACTTGTAGCAACATTGCATAAACTCGTGACAGTGTTTCCTAACCCTGTCATGGGGAAAGTTAATGTTACCTCCTGTCCTGCATGATTTAATCTCTCCCTGCTTCAACACAGATGATTTAGACCGCTTCAGCATTCATAATGAGTTGATAGTTTGAATCAGCTGTTTTGGAGCAGGGAGAGATCTAACACATAAGGTTATTTGAACAGTTAGTTTACATTATCCACAAAAAAAAGCTAATTCTACCATAGATCTTCAGCAGCTCACCAGAGCCTCCGTTGGCATGAGAAAAATACCCGTCGCAAACATTTACCAAATATACCCCAAATTCAAATTTAAATCAGACACACAGAAACTCCTCTATTTACTAGGAGAAATGCCAGAATGCCAAATCATTGCAGAAAAATACATCTCCTTATTCCAAAAACTGAGGATAACCAGTGGAAACTCAGTCTAGACTGATAAATATATTAAATAATTTAGTACTGTAAAAATTTCAAATTATTATTTTCATTGTTTGGTATTTTAGTAATTGTTCATAATTTATTTTATTTAAATTTTGTGACGAACAATATGAATTAAATTCACAGCACACACACACGGATACTGTTTATTTATTTTTGTATTTATTTATTTTAACACAGGGCAGGTTGGCACCGATGATCTTTCTGCAGTCCTGACTGTCCGTTGTAGTCTGTCCCTGTTCTCTTTGGTGGCAGATCCAAACCAGACAGTGATGGATGTGAAGAGGACAGACTGGATGACGGCTGTGTAAAAGTGGATCAGCAACTCCTTAGGCAGATTGAGCTTCCAGAGCTGGCGCAGAAATCTGTAGCCAGGCCATGGAAAAAGTTATTAATAAGATTTTATCAATCCTAAACAAACAGGGAAGTGTAGTTCACCTTTCTATTCCTAAGACAATTTTAGACCAATCAGTGTATTTGAACTTTGGAAAGCTTGTCCTTTTAATTTTGGTTTTCTTACACAAGAAAGAAAAAGACATCTGAACATTCATCGAAAGACCTCAGAGTCCACTTGAAAAAGTATGTCTGACCTCTTCCACACTACTGAAGACTTTATCATCTCTGAATGTGAGGATGGTTGCTGAAATCTGATAACCATCAGGTATGCATGCATCGAGAGGCCACTGTAGCATTTCTAAAACCGATTGCTGCAGAGACAGAATGTTTTCTCTGACCAGGTGGAGGATCAGGTTTCACAAGATGCCTACATGAAACATTTGCTTTCATGTGTTGGTCAGATAGTCCTTCTGGAAGTCTGTCTATTTTCTTAATTCAAATGAGGGCAGGTGTTGCGTCTGAATTGAACAAACCACAACAACTTACTGTCTCCGTGAATTTCCCACAGTGAAAAGTTCTCAGAAAGTTGGACAGCAGATCCAAGTCCATCACAAAAAGGTGGCTATAAATATGCAATAAACTAAACTACTTAAATGTTTAGTCCAAAGGAAACAATGCCACTTCCTCATATGACAGCCAAATCTGTGCTTTGGCAGAGTGATAAATGAAGAAATGGCCAAACATGACTCATTAGTAAAAGCACTACACAGAGCAGTGTGCAGTATTCTTAGCAGTAATCATTTCCTGCTTTTCCCCTGCTCCAGAATTTCTGACCTCAGCACACATGTGTTTTTGTTAACAAATTCTCATTTAGTTGCTAAAAGGGCAGAGTAAAAGTGAACCACACCAAACAAAAAAAACCTCAAAATTGAATTTAGTCCAGACTAAGTAAGTGAACTAGCAGACTTTCTGGGTCTGAAAGCGCCTTCAATTTTGACATGTTTCACTAGTGAAAATAACATCTCGGGTTACGTATGTAACCCTGGTTCCCCGAGAAGGGGAACGAGACACTGCGTCGGTTACGACACTATGGGAACGCCTCTAGGCGAAGCAGGTCTGAACGTGAATGAAATCACTCCAATCCTATTGGCTTGTTGCTAGAACGGTAAGGTGTGACGGAATAACCGGAGGAGTATAAAGCACACCTGTACACACTCATCATTAGCTTAAACTATGAAGCAGGCGCTTCAGGCGGGGAGAGAGGTGCGGCGGGCCGACGCAGTGTCTAGTTCCCCTTCAGGCCGTACGTCCTCCGTGTGGACGGGGCCCTGGAGCTCAGGAGGGTCTCGACTGCTCCAGCTGTTAGACCCGCCTCTAGGTACTGTGCCCCCTCAGGGGCCAGACCCACAGTCGCCATAAGGTGGGGCAAGGGTGAAGAACTCGGCCCTGCGCCTGGGACAGCAGGTCTCTCCTCAGAGGGACCCGCCACGGTGGGCTGTCCAGGAGCGACATGATGTCCGAGAACCACACCCGGGTTGGCCAGAATGGGGCGACTGGGGGAGCGAGCGCAGACCGCCCTGGTGATTCAGATAGGCCACCACCGCTGTGTTGTCGGAACGAGCCAGGACGTGGTGGCCTTGGAGATCGGGCAGGAAACTCTTTAGAGCCTGGAACACCGCCAACATCTCGAGACAGTTGATATGCCACTCGGATTGATGCACCTGCCAGGATCCCCTTGCAAAGCGGACGTCCATGACCGCGCCCCAGCCCGTGAGGGAGGCATCTGTCGAAATGACCAGCCGGCGACAAGACCCTCCTAGCACGGGCCCCTGGGACAGGAACCAAGTTTCCTTCCAAACTGATAGGGAACGAAGACACTTGCGCGTAACCCAAATCAGACGTTCCTTTGCCACCACTGCAGGGGTCTCATGTGCAGCAGTCCAGATGGTATTACGCTGGACGCAGCCGCCAGGAGACCCAACACTCGTTGAAAGTGTTTTATAGTGATGGCGTGGCCTAACTTCACCCCTTTCACGGCAGCCAATATGGTGTCGACACGTGCCGGAGACAATTGTGCCCGCATCGTGGTCGAATCCCATACTACCCCTAGGAATGTAGTCCGTTGGGTGGGCGCCAGCACACTCTTCTTTGCGTTGAGCCCCAGCCCTAAACGCAGCAGATGAGCCAGAACGACATCTCGATGCCGAACCGCCAACTCTCGAGACTGGGCTAGGATGAGCCAGTCGTCAATGAAGTTGAAATCTGGATGCCCTGGAGCCTCAGCGGGGCCAGTGCTGCATCCATACACTTGGTGAATGTGCGAGGGGAAGTGCCAGGCCGAATGGAAGAACCCGATACTGGTAAGCCACACCCCCGAAGGCGAACCTCAGGAACTTCCTGTGAGAAGGACGGATGGAGACCTGGAAATAGGCGTCCTTTAGATCTATCGTGACAAACCAATCCTCAGATTGGATGTGCGTCACGATGGCGGGGATGATGAGCATCTTGAACCTGAATCTCCTCAGAGACTGGTTAGAACCCGCAGATCCAAAATAGGGTGCAGCCCTCCGTCCTTCTTGGGGACTATGAAGTACCGGCTGTAGAACCGGCGTCTCTGTCTGGGGGGGAGACACGTTCCACGGCCCCTTTCCTCAGCAGTAGATGTGGTGCGACATGGCTTGAGGGTAACGCCGGCTCCTCCAGGGAGGACGCAAGTCGAGGGGAGAGATAGCTCGCAAGCGCATCCTCCACCCGAGGCATCCTCCCATAACCACGGTCCCTAACCCCCATCACATTACTGTAGTTCAGTGATCGGGGTGTGGAAAGCCATGTAGAGAAGGGTATGCCCCATGATTTACTCAGTTCATCATGTAAATCAGGAAAGAATGGCAGAGACCGGCGTGGAGGTGGCGCGTGGTGCTTAAGAAACCTTTCATCAAGCTTACCACTAGCCTGTGGTGTCTGCTCCTCCTGTGGCCATTTGATGTTGAGCTTAGCCACGGCTCTAGTCACCACCTCCAGCAGCACGTCATAGTCGGGCGCCGCCAGATGACGCCGCCCCGACACCCGGAACACATCGTCCACTACGCTGAGCACGTCCGCCTCCTCGGAGTCGGATTGCTGCAGCGTCTCCTGATCCAAACTGCGAGCCGGAGAAGCCGAGAACGGGCTCTGAACGAGGAAAGGAAGCGTCAGAGCCAGCGGATGAAGGTCGGGAAAAAGCCTCAGCCGCCCCTGAAATCCTCCGACAGATCACGCTGTGAACCCCATGAGTGAAGCCGCCGGGCCGCCTCGGCGGCCGCAGGGCCCGCGCCACGGGGAAAACACATCCGGCCATCCTCGGAAAAGAGAGCCATGCTGTACCTCAGTACCCGCACGGAAAGGGCTTCGCAACGGGCGCAGGCAGCCCCCCCGAGAGCTGCCCGGGCGTGCTCCATCCCCAAACATGAGACACACATCTCCGAGGGCAAGAAAAAAAAACACACCTTCTGTACATCTGATTGCCGGACATGCTGGTAGACTTCTTCTTCAGGTAAGACACACTGCTTGTAGGACTGGAGCTTTCTTCAAACAACATACAGAGCGCCTGCTGAATAGAAAAAAGCTAATGATGAGTGTGTACAGGTGTGCTTTATACTCCTCCGGTTATTCCCGTCACACCTTACCGTTCTAGCAACAAGCCAATAGGATTGGAGTGATTTCATTCACGTTCAGACCTGCTTCGCCTAGAGGCGTTCCCATAGTGTCGGAACCGACGCAGTTCGAGTTCCCTCGAAGGGGAAACACTGTACTTGTGAACCATGCAAGAGCCCAGTAGAGCTCGCAATTTAATCTAAAATTTGTCATTTGTAAAACATGATGCTCCAACCATTTAGCAACCAGTAAGCAGCGCTTGAAAATCGCCTTTATGAACGGTTATAGAGTGAGTGAGGCAAGTCAGGACTGCAAACAGGTGAAGTCTACAGTATATAAAATATGCATGCTCAATAAGGTTTGTTTTTCCCACCCTGTAATGTTGACAAACAAGTGCCACAGCTGAAGCTCACAATGTAACATTACTGATGTAAATTTTAGTTATTGTGGTACAACAATAAAAGCAATACGTTTCTGAGGTAGAAAAATAAAAACAAGCAACACAATTCAAAAAATGAACTCAAAGATGGAAGGTGATGCCCGTACATGTGTGTATTTACTGTTACATATGTGTGCGGGTGTGCCAGTGTGTGTGTGTGTTATTAGCCAAGAAACTGTACTTAAAGACAGTAAGATTTATGTCTGCCAGAATAGAGCCACATTATACAATGTAGTGAACAAGACGTTTAAAGTTTTTTTCACTGTATCAATTATAATTAGTAAAATCAATTAGTTCATCAATTAACATTTCATAAATATGCTTGTATGTGTTTTTGTCTCACCTGTCCATATCACAGTTATGTTGGGCAGCAGGTCCTCTCCAACAGTCTGCAGGTAGGGAGACTTTGATACACTGGGAGAACACAGAGAACCACAGTACTCTACAGGGAGAGAGAAAGAGAGGTGTATTTCATATTTTTTAAACTGCCCATTTCAAGTTTTATAAGGTTCTGTAGACCAAAAATATTTCAGCACTCCCACCTGTTGGGCAAAATAGGAAAACAGGCGGTTCCCCCAAGAACCGATACATGTCATTGGTTACAGTGACCTGAGCATGGGCGAATGAAGAAAAGGCCTCGCTGTCGGCCTGAAATGGAATGATGTAAAGCCTAGCCAACCCAGGTCTGACACCTGGAGAGAGAGATGAGGTGAGAGAAAAAGAGAAAAAGTACAAAAAGTTACATTCCTGTAGTATTGTAGTACCTTACAGTTTCATATACCTGTCTCAGCTTGCGCTTGAGTAGTGTCAGATCACAGGAAGAAGAGAAGACGATGTCCTGACCAGGAGAGAGGGCGTAAACAAACTTCAGGCCTCTCAACTGGGCTTCCGCTATGAGAGTACGCAGCTGACCTGAGAGGTGGAGAGTAGAGGAAAAATCTAGTATATCTAGTTTAGACACACTGTCCAGTGTTTGCAAACACTTTTAAACTATGATTACAGATGTTTAAACAACACCAGACTCTTCATATCATATGTATGTATCTTATCTGAATTTTATATCTCTTATGAACTCAGCTTGGCTTTAAATCACCAGGCCTCCATATTAACGTCTACAGTCTTCTAGGTACCATAATATAATACAATGAGCAACAAAAAAACTGCTGACGCCTTTAGGGTGGTAATGAAGAATAAATGGACAAATAAATGTCAAAAAGGCAATTTCATATTTGGGACAATGAATTTTCTGCCTGATTAAAGACAGAATTTCCGAGGGCTGTTCTGGGGTACGTTTCCCAAAAGCACCGTTGCTAACTACGGTAGCAACTTATGTTGTTGGAACTATCCAGTTGCGACGTGATTTCTCACAGATTACCCATCTGTTCAAAACAATATAAGTCACCCAAAGGTAAAAGGACAAAGCAGAGCATGAAAAAGACCGGACTTTTAATATTCCCTTCATGTGTATGTGTGTACATTTTAGGCCTATGAGGAAGATGGGTGTCCTCTAGGCTTCATTATAAACATATATAAGAAGAAAGCATACAATTCATTAAAGTACTGTAATGAATCAATCCCTGATCTGCCATTAAGACAAAGACATTCATGGGATTTGAACCCGTGTCTGTCTCAATAGAAAACTTCCACAATTTCCACCATCTATTGCACTGAGCTATTCCAACATTCACCAACATCATCAGTACCCTTCATTTGTTTTTTTCATTCTCTCATCATCATCATCACTACTATCACTATCATTACATTGTTCTACCTCACATCCTGTCACAGCATCTCCATCATCATCACTACTATCATGTCATCCCAACAAACATCCTCACAGTCTTACCATCATTATCATAATTACCATCTTAATCCTCATAATCACCTTCACCATTATTGCCGTTATCAATATCATCACATCATCTTATTTCCAACATTATCATTGTCATCATCATCATCACTACCACCAGCCATTATCCAAAGCATGTCTTTTCCTTAGAGCCAGACATTATTGAGTGCTTTTCATCGCCTGCTCTTTGATCTCCACTTCAACCCTGGCTGATCTGCACCACATCACGTTATAAAGACCTTATTATATTCTAACTACGTCAGTGTTCATACATAGCACCACTCCCACGCCCTCCTTTATCCACAGTAAGCGACAAAGCAATGCTAAAATATAGGTCAAACGCTGGTCTATTCAAAATCATCTCCCCGGGGTAAGAAAGCAAAAATCACATGATCTGACAGGAGGTCAGTTATGAAGTCGGCCGCTCTTACCTTCCACCACCCCACAAAGAAACTGCTTCCTCTCCTCCATCCTGTCCTCCCTCCGCTTCCTGTCGGCCCTATCGAGCGAGGGAAGACAAGATGCTCACCCCATCAGTCAGCTTAGATACCGGGGATCCTCTTCATTCATCTCCTCGATCTGCCTCCACCCTCCTCCTCTTCCTCTCCTTCCCTCTACATCGCTGGAGCTCTCGTGCTGCATTCAGGTACTCAGCTGAAGCTTCGGCTTTCGAGTACTTCTAACGCTGATGACAGTAATAAAACTAAATAACAGTGTGACCCTACAAAGGAGCTTGTTTTAAGTGGTTCAGTTATTAGAAAGACAATGTATACTTTATTCACATAGCACTTATGCTGTACAAACAAAGGTCATTTAGCTTACAATTAAACTGCAGAGTGAAACTATCAAATATGCTAAAATAGAGAGATAACATGACTGTAAGAATTTTTTTCGATTTCAATTTCAATTTCAATTTTTTTTTGTATTTCAAAACACTTTATTTATCCCCATGGGGCAATTGCGAGACCCGTAGATTAGTACAAGTTAAATAAGGTCATCTTTCATAATAGACATAACCTAATATATTAATAAATGAATAGACATATATCAATGTTGTCAACAGGTCCAAATCAGCATCACTAAATGAAATGAAATACATTATCAACATAATTAATTCATGTACTGTATAGTTGGGTTGTAGTAAAAAAAAAAAAATTCAAGACATAATGCAGCCCTCTGCGTGGCAGATGGCTGAGCTCATAGTCCGGTATTGCAAGTATTTATGAATCACTGAAACAGTGTGCGTGTACTTGTATGTTTGAGTGTGTGCAGGGGAGTGAAGGAAGTAGTGATCGGGGTAAGAAGGAGTTCAGGGATGGTTGGGAGTTTAGGAGCTGGACAGTCTTAGGTACAAAGGTTGCCCTTCTCCTCCGAGTTCTGCAGCCTGAACAGTGAAGCCGACGTCCTGAGGGGAGCCACTCAAATGCAGGAAACAGAGCGTATGAGGGGTCCTGTAAAATCCTGCCAGCTAACCTCAGAGTCTGCTGCTCACATACAGTGGAGAGGGCTCTGACTGGAAGTCCTATTATTTTGGCACAGACTTTAGCTGAGTTTTGCAGGCGGTTTCTGCTTTGCAGAGTGATGGAGTGGAACCAGCAAGAGATGGAAAATGTCATTACGCTCTCAATGAAGGAATAGTAGAACGTTTTGAGGATGACCTTGCTGACCCCAAATGAGTTGAGCTTCCTCAGGAGATAGTGCAGGCATTTCCTTCGTGTCTGAATTAAATTTCATCAGATTGTCGAAGCTTGTGCCCAGGTACTTGTGTTCCTCAACAATTTCTACAGGCTTCCCATGGATAGTGGAACAGCCTGCCACAGCCAGTTCCCTCTGCTTGTTGGAAAAGGTCACTGCCATCTCCTTGGTCTTTTTCATATTTAGTTCTAGACAAGATTTATCACACAATTCCACGAACTCCTGAAGAGCTGAGCTGTGGTGCTGTAATGAGCCTGAAAGCAAAGATAGGAGAACTGTGTCATCGGCGTACTTTACCAAGTAACTACAGTCATTGGTGTAAAGAATAAAAAGCAGAGGTGAAAGGACACAGCCTTGCGGGGAACCAGCTGATGTGTACAGGACATCAGATAATGTGTCATTGACCAGGACTCTCTGTGACCTGTTGGTAAGGAAGTCGATTATCCAAAAAAATCAGTCGGTCGTCTAGGTAGAAAGTAAAGTTTCTCAGCTAGAATATGTGGCTGCAGGAGAAATCAGCGAAAAGGAGTCTGGCTGTCGTGTTAGGAGAATCCAGATGTTTATGGATGGTGTCTGTAATGAAAACCTTTGCATCGTCCAACCCTCTACCTGCGCGATGAGCAAACTGAAGTGGTTCCATCTGTGAGTCTGTTATCTTAATAATATGATTTTTGATGACCCTCTCCATAGCTTTCTTGGCTAGAGAGGTGAGGGGTCATGGGTCTTGAGGTTCATGATCTTGATAGCACCTTTTTTTGGTATGGGAATGACTGTGGAATCCTTCCACAGCTGAGGGACTGTGCCACCATCCAAAAAACAACAAAAACAGTAACCGTAACAGGAAAAACATTAATAATATGATACATTATTAGGCTACTATATTTAATAACTTGTACATTAAATGGGGAACACTTTTTTCTGACTTAAATTAAGTAAGCTGTCCGAATAGAGCGGAGTACAGAAGTCCTAAGCGGCCATCGATTCATATCTTTATTTAACTCTGTTTTCCCGTGATAACGGGATAATTTTCTCGGGATGTCGAGATAATAAAACAGTAGTTTAACAAAGCTCAGTGATTAAGGTGCATGACCCATAGTCTTAAGATTGTGCGTTTAATCCTCATAGAAGATCATCAACAAAATTTTTTTTTTTTTCCATATTCCTCTTCAACAAAGTTGTTGTGAAGATGACTGATTCACATGCTCACAATTAATCACGTGCTGGAGTGTGCGCATCCCGGCGATTGGTCTACATACTTCAATCTATAAACTTTTTATTTCCCCATCATTCCCAGGCAGAGGAAATTCATCCGCTTCTCAAAGTTTCTGAAATAGCCGTCAGGAAATGTGTAGTTAAATGGATTCACCTGAATCTCTTGAAAACAACTTTGTTGAAGAGAATTATTAAAAAACACACAAAAGAAGAAAAAATAAACTTTGCAAAGAGCAGAGGTAGAACCTGCTATCCTTGGGGTGCAAGTCCTGCACACTACTAACTGAGCTAAATGCTGACTCAGCAAGTTAACACGAACATTATCGTAAAGAAATGCATCTGCCCACCCCTGCATTCAGCTGTCACGAGATAATTATCCTGTTATCACGAGAGAGTATATGGGCTGTTAGAGAACTTCCACACTGTTTACAAAGGCCTACTGTTATAACTCCCAGCACTGTTAAGTAGGCTACTTCTGATGCTGCTACTATTTAATTATATCGGTCTTCTCATATAAGGTGCATATAGGCTTCTTCGGATAGGCCCTTTATAATGCTCCAGCCACACTATGCTCACTCCGCCTCACTGTAACAGATCACCTCTGTCTCGCCTAGTGTCAGAACTATGGCGTCTCGTCTTTTCAGTTAAATTATTGTGACTTTTTTTATTAGCACCTCCGCTGATATAACATTAAAGTGCAGCCTATAGTAAAAAGTGTGTTTCATTTTTTAAACATTTTATAATGAGTTCATAGAAAAGCATGTAGGATAAAACAAAACCCAAAGGGAACACTACATTAACAAATGCAACAAATGGACGTCAGGCCTTTTTCAGGGAGCTGAAGCTGCAGTTGTTAAAGTTAATTAAAGCTACTTGCTTAACTTTAGCCAAGCTTACTTGAGGTAAAGGAGAGGGGATATTTTAGTTGGCTATGGAAAACAGTAGTCTAGCTAGCATGAATGCCACTAATATCTATATTGTAGGATTTGAAAACAACATCAGTCCTCACAGAATGTTCATGTCAGTGACTATTAAATATCAGTGTCCCTGTTAATGCTGTTGTACCGGTATATGCTTCAATTCATTTATCAGATGGATATTGGAAGATTTTTTAGCAGAGAGAGAAGATTGGCAGGGCAGCTGATTCTGAGGTCAGCAGTGGTCTACAGGTCTAAGGAATGTGTGGTGTTTTGTTTGCTTTTAACAACAGGCATTTGTTGGCAGGTCAGGCACCATGAGTGCATGTGCTCAGCATCATATCCAGAGGTTGTCTTTGGGAAATAGATGTGTGAGTGCTGCCAGCATTGCGGCAGAGGTTAAAGAGGTTGTCGTTCTAGAAGAAAGCCTCTTCTAAAAATGATGCACAAGAAAGCCTGCAAACAGTTTGCTGAAGACAATCAGAATAAGGACATGGATTACTGGAACCATGTCCTGTAGTCTGATGAGACTAAGATAAACTTATTTGGTTCAGATGGTGTCAAGTGTGTGCGGCGGCACCCAGGTGAGGAGTATAAAGGCAAGTGTGTCTTGCATACTGTCAAGCACGGTGGTGGGAGCGTCATGGTCCGGGGCTGCATGAGTGCTTCCAGCACTGGAGAGCTACAGTTCCAACATGTACTGTGACATACTGAAGCAAAGCATGACTCCCTCCCTTCGGAGACTGGGCCGCAGGCCAGTATTCCAACAACGACCCCAAACACACCTCTAAGACGACCACTGCCTTGCTAAAGAAGCTGAGGATAATAGTAATGGACTGGCCAAGCATGTCTCCAGACCTAAACCCTATTGAACATCTGTGGGGCATCCTGACACGGTGGAGGAGCACAACGTCACTAACATCCACCAGCTAGTGATGTCATCGTTGAGGAGTGGAAGAGGACTCCAGTGGCAACCTGTGAAGCTCTAGTGAACTTCATGCCCAAGAGGGTTAAGGAAGTGCTGGAAAATAATGGTGGCCACACAAAATATTGATACATTTTCACTTAGGGATGTCCTCACTTTTGTTGCCAGCGGTTTAGACATTAATGGCTGTGTGATGTGTTATTTTGAGGGGACAGCAAATTTACACTGTTACAAGCTGTACACTCACTACTTTACATTGTTGAAAAGTGCCATTTCTTCGGTGTTGTCACATGAAATGAAATATGTACAAAAATGTGAGGGGTGTACTCACTTTTGTGAGATACTGTATATAGTTATTGTTACTCCAAATGTTTTATTCCTTCTGCTATCAGGTTATTAAAGCACAGTAGCCACTTTAAATAGGATCCTTATCAACAGCTTACCTATTTTGTTCCATACAGCATTTCAAATACTCCTTCAATGTTCAACATGAATCAAATATTATTTCACACATATACTGTAGTTAATTCATAAATAACAGTAGCTATAATTGGTTCTGTGCTAAAAGTGAAACCTTACCATGAAAATAATGCTACTTCTTTTCAACTGTTTCTGTAGGCAGCAGTTCTATAAGTTTTCCAATACACGTCCCTGCTCAGACAAAATGCTGACTTGCTTATTCACACACCTTTCTTTTTTGTGGTTTCAGTGTTTTTTGTTAGATTGTTTTTTTATTTACATAATTCAGATTATACCGGTAGTTGTGAAGGCAGCATCTACCTCTGCTTCCAGCACCACCCGCAGATGTGTGCGTGTGTGTGTGTGTGCAAGTGAGTGAGTAGCTTGATAATCACACTCAGTGGCCATTTTATGACAGCTTGATATTTGATTGATCTAATAGATTTTTTTGCTGATATGCAAAATATTCTCAAGGTTAATAATAATAATAATAATAATAATAATAATGCTCTGCTAATGCTCTGTCCCCTTTATTTTTTTCGTCGAGATTCAGGAACGGTCTGAGTATCTCAAGGTACGTGCTGGTGCATATGGGACTGAGAGATCAGATATATAACAGGCACAAGGAAGAGCTGGATTTACCAGCTGATCCACAGTCTTAAATAAATTCTAGGATTATGTTGATGTGCAGAAATGAGTTCAGAAAAAAATCATTAATCATTTTATTTATTGTAGGTTAAAATAACTACCAGTTAACACGTAAGTTAAGTAACGTTACTTGCAACTTACGCGATAACGTAACTTAAATAAAAATATTTAATGTAATACTTTTAGTTTCACACGTGACACGAACACCGGTCTCCTGGTTCAAGTCCGGTTTCTGGCACGCCAACCACCCCAAACCCCCCAAACCCCTCCTTCCCAGTCTTTTCTGTTAAATATCATATCCCTACCTTTACTGTCAAAAACTGACGATACAGGGCTTCCCCCACTGCGTTCAACTATGATGCTATAGGGATCCCCAGTGCGTTACAAACATCCACATGTGACTTGGGAGTGAGAACAGGCTGTAAATATCTAAAACTGCTGTTTTGTGTCTGTATTTTTGGAGTTTTTTAGAGATGATACATTTACAGACGGATTGTTAATCTTTTCACACAAATAATATTGAGATAAATCTATCTCTACTGCATACAGTAATGAATATCAATGAATTGCCACCGAGCATGTAACTTAGGAGAAGAATGTGGTATAGCCTACCTGGGTACTTTTCAGGTGTGGAGGTAAGCAGAAGCAGGATGTGCAGCAGGATCACCACCATGCTTATCAAACCTTCTCTAAACAAATCAAAACAAAGCCTACCTGGCAACAACACAAACAGGGTGAGAACTGAACAGACAAGTGGAAAACACATAAAACCAGCATTAGGATGGAGGGTGGTTTGCTGCCTTCACAGATCATTGTGCAGGTGATTTAACCCCTCAGTATGCCTAGTAGCCTACCTTAACATGACATGAACATTTGTTTGCCCCGGTGCCTCTCTCTGTTATAGCTGGCTTCTTTGTGATACTGCTTTTGCTCACTGAACAAGAGTCTGCCGCTTAGCAGCAAAACAAAAAATTTGAAAAATAAAATGTCAAAGATTGCCCCAAAAACTATATATTCGTACTGTCACCCAAGTCAAGATTTATTTAACAAAGATAGATGTAATCATTTCCAAAATTCACAATGTGGTTTTATCTAATGAAATATTCTGCTTCAATCTATATTTGTTGGCATTTAGACTTTTTTATAAACTACATTTTCACTGTTTGCTCTCCCGCTTGCTGCACACAAAGGGAGGCACACACCTGTATTAATGGGGCGATTAAAGAAAGTTGATTTAATAAAAACATCCAAACTCATTTACTATGATGAATTACTTTATTGAAATTGAGGATTTTGTTCAAGGAATTTTTATGATCATAAAATCATCATAAAATATGACAACAGACATTCAAAGCTTCATTCAAAAATCTCTGTAGAAGCTTAATACAGCACTAAGTAGGCTAATAGCATATTAGACACAACAGGCTGGACAATGTCATCCATGCAACAGTGACTTTATCACCTGCAGCTCTGCTTTTGTGTTTTTGTTGTTTTTTACACAAATATCATCATAAAAAAGCATAATAATGATAAGTGTGTACAGTTTGACACATCAAAAGGTCTTATGAGGACATTTATTTGGCCCTACTCCCAGGACAACATAACTGTGAGGGAGTGGCAGGTGAAATCTTATGGCATACAGTATGTGGACTATCTTCCTCTGAACAAAGCACTGTCAGAGGTTGCACACCTCTGGAGCAATTAGAGGTTAAGTGAAATGTCAGGAAGGTATGAATGTATGAAAAAACAGGTACCTTGGTACCAGGTAGGAAATCTTCCTCTGAACACACACTCTCTGATAACAAAATAATGATAATAAAAGATGTATCATTACTCTATACAGACTAAAGCTTTTTGACAAAAGTATGTTCAGCAGGAATGATTTTGGTATCATTTTATTTAATCTAAATCAGTGTTTCTGTGTTCGGAGGAGGACGGGTGGCGCTAGAAGCCATTTTTTGTAAATGGGGGCGCTGAGGTGCTCTTGGGGCGCGTTTGTTGAGGTCAAAGTTTTAAGCCGAGTTTACGCCAAAGATTAACAACAATACAAGTTTAAACTTTTAACTATTTGCAAAAAACCCTGTGGTCTGCAACATTAAAACCTGCCAGTTTACTTCACTGTGGCTGGACAAGATGGTGTGTGTCATAACTCTTCTTCTCTGTTTCTGTCAGATACTTGTGGCGCATCTCTGTGCTGCCTTCAGGGGAAGTCAGAGTATCATCTATAAAAGTTTTTCATAGCAATACTCCATGAATGCCTTGTTATCGCATTGGTTACACATTTACAAGATATAGGATACACAAAATATTATGAATTCTCATTAAATGGTGACGTTAGTCTCGCAATATTAGGCTATGACTTTCTAGAGAACACAGATCAATGACCGAGAGATTCTGAATGTGCAGAAAGGTTTGAATAGGAGCAGAAAACCTGCTAAAACAGAAAAGCTATTAAAGTCCAGTCAGTAACTGAATTAAAATGAATTAATGTATTACTGAGGTGAAAAGGCACCACATGCACAGAGGTTAACAGAAGACACAAAAGTGGAGGGAAGACTAAATTATGTGTGTTGACTCAGCATGGATGAGATTAAACAAGTTGATCTACAGGAGGAACAGCCTATTTAAAAGCAATTAAGAATGCCTGAGAGCCTTACTGCTAATATTATATTATATCTTTATATTTTGAAATGTCACCTGCCACTTGCTGAATTTTGTGCTTCCATTTATAAAAATAAAAAAAATGACACTATTAATTGGAGCAGAAATTTTCAGAATGCAGGAAATTAAGTCTTTAATGCTCAAAATCTTCTGGGGGAGGATCAAGGCCCACACTTACTAAGTTCCCATCCAAGAAAACAGTCTCTGGTTTAACACCCAGTTTCTGGGAAGAACATTCACTTATTAATTAAATATAATTAATACTCGCATGGCTTTTTTGTTCCCTGGGAAAGTAATAAATATGTTGTTTGTCATTCAATTATGTGCCTTTTTGAAATGTTTAACAGTAATAATATATTGTATTAAAACACTGTAAATGACAAAAGAAACTGCTCTGCGCTATGTAGCGTGAGACAAGGGAATATTGACTCACAGGGGTCGGGTTTAATCAGATCTGCATAGATGTCCATCAGTGCATTTCAAATGAAAATGTGATGAAAATTTTATCTTTTACTTCCTGACAGCAAGGTTGTTTTTGTCACACAAGAGCCTGTTTTTCTTGACCAAAGCGCCTATCCTGTACCCGGTGAAAATTGTGATTGCTAGTTTCCAACCGACGCAGTTGTCATTTTCACGCCAGGTGCCCACCTTGTTTAAATAGCAAATGCACTCGTGCTCATCTGTGCGCCCATGGGAGTGCTGGTGCTAAAATGAGGCGCGGTCAGCCAAATTGTTGGCGCATTTCTATCTTGAGGCAGCAGAAAGCCATTGACCAAAAAACAGGTCTAAAGTCAATGGCGCAGTATTGAACTGTTTTTAGTTATTTTGGAGACGCATTATTCCGCTAAGAGAGGCGCTTTGCGCATTTACGCACGAGGCACAGCAGCGTAACATCATTGATTATTAAAATCTCCCGACACGCAGACAGGATCGGCCAGGATCTAAAGTCTATTCATGTTCTGTGTTCTTCTACACATGGTAAAGGTCTCACACACAGTCAAGGTTCATAAGGTGAAAGTGTTTGGAGTGAAGCAGCCCTCCTCCTGATCAATCCTGAGCTCCATCAGAGCGTCTAAATTATTTCAGATGTTAAAAGTTGAATTATTTTTCTTCTGGAGAGTTTAATCTGTCACGTTTATAACTACAGTTTTTTATTTGTTGTGACTTTATTGCGCACATGGAAGCGTTTTAAATGACTGACAGCAGATTCTAATCATGAAAGTAAATCGTTCAGGAAAACACTCATACATCAATAAAACACAAAATAAAGAAGCCAGTGTAGGTGAGAGATGTGACCCACGACCGGTTCATCATATAATAACGCAGCACAGTGGGGATCCAGACGTTTCATAGAGGACACAGCGTCTGTCTGTCTCTCTGTTAACAGACCCCAGTCTGCAGTGAAGTTGAACATTAGGCTTCATGATCAGAGACACTTTTTATATCACGTTCACACCTCTGTCCATATCCTCTCTGCTGTGAGTCTGCAATTATGGTTTTAACAATGCGTCATTATAATAGCAATGCCCCAAGGTACAAGCCATCTGGCTTTTAAAGAGAATGGGAGATGGTGTATTGAATGCTACGCCCAAAACACACCCATGACTAATTCACAGACTAAGTACAACCCTTTTGAACCGTGCGCCTGGTTCACTGGCCGTTTTTTCCTCCGTTAAACTAACAAAATTGGAGCTAGACACGCCCCAAAAGCACCTGCGCCACGCACTTCACGCCGTGCGCTCACATCGTTAAAATAGGGCCCTAAATCTTAACTGCCTTCAGTACTTAACGGCAGCTGAGCAACGATAAACATCAAACAAGTACTGAGCTTCTGTACAAGCAGCACACGGTAACTGACAGTCGGGGGCGTCTGAAGTCTTGATTTTTTTAGAAGGAGGAAGTGAAAGAGATACTGGTAAGTAAAATGAATAACTTTATCATATTCTGCAGGGAAAGTTATTGGTTATCCATATACTGACACATATCCACGCATAACCTCATATAAAAGGTAAGTGGAGTTGGTTTGCACATTTTAGTAGAAATAGAGTAACATATATGTTTTCAAATGTTTTTTTCCAAAGGTCTGCCTCATGGATTGTGGGCTGATCATCTTTGTGCTCACAGGTTGGTGCCTCTTTTTTGATTATTCTGTTGTTTGTTTGAGCAAGATCACGTGCACTGATGATATCTGGCTCATGGTCAAGGTGTACAGCAGACAAGCCAGTTTCTGACAAGCCAATAGATCTCCCTCCATCCTACACCTATTGAACTAAGAGAAAAAATCCAGAGTGAACACATAGATCAGATAAGTACCCTTTGTCAGTACAGACAATGGTATTTTAATTAAATATATGAACATATGGTCCTGCCCCAGATGCTCAAGTCAAAAGGAAGGAAGCATTATCTAATCAAAGTCAGGCCCAAAGAGTTTCAAGGGAAGAATTATTTTTTATCAGTGCCCCCTCTCTTCTGGGACTGAGCCAGTTGTCTTTATTATTGTAGAATCAACATATTGTACATTATTAAGCAGTCGTCACTCAGTACTGCATATGTAGTAAGTATTTCTGCGACAAACTGAGTCAAAGGGTACAACTTATATTACAGAAAATGTTTAAAATGACAAACATATTTGTAGTTGAACTGGTTCTATTTTATTGTCAGTGGTAAACAGTGAACACATTCACTGAGGCAGACTGAAACTTGTTCTGACTCAAGCTGATAGACAAAGTGCGAAGGCACCAGACATTAAATCTAGCAGGACTGTTTGGTTCAGTTTCAGAGAGCATTAATTTTTTCCATGCTCTGTAGTCATGCTACAGTGTACGCTACAAAAATTTCACCAACGAGGAAAATGTATTGTAAAACCTCACAGTACCGCTGAACCCACCTGATGCATAGTGCCTCTTCATGTTCACTGTAAAAGAGTCTTCATGCTTTATCATAAATAAGTAATAAAAAACTGAATATTCTTTGTTTTAGGAGCACTGGTCAATGTTGCCTCTGCCCAAACTCGTCAGTACTACTTTGAGAGTACACCACTGAACTGGACTGAAGCTCAGAGCTTCTGCAGACAGGTCTACAGTGACCTGGCCACCATAGAAACCATATCTGACGTCAGTACCGTACTCAGCACCACACCGAGCTACAGAGGCAAGTTCTCAATATTGGAAACATATATAGAACATAAACATAATATATATATATACTGTATAATCATATACAAACATAACAGCCAGACAACAACCAAGTTTTTGATAAACTTACTATGATTAGATAAAATTATATAATATGATATTATGGAGGGCGGCATGGTGGTTAGCACTGTTGCCTCACAGCAAGAAGGTCGTGGGTTCCAACCCCGGTTAACCCGGCCATTTTGTGTGGAGTTTGCATGTTCTCATGTCTGCGTGGGTTCTCTCGGGGTACTTCGGCTTCCTCCCACCGTCCAAAGACATGCAGTCTAGGTTAATTGGCGACCCTAAATTGTCCTTACGTGTGAGTGTGAGCGTGAGTGGTTGTTCGTCTATGTGTGGCCCTGCGATGGACTGGCGACCTGTCCAGGGTGTACCCCGCCTTGCGCCCAATGTCAGCTGGGATTGGCTCCAGCGCCCCCCCCCCCCCGCGACCCTGTATGCAGGATAAGCGGTTGACGATGGATGGATGGATGGATATTATGGAATGTGAAAGAACAAGAAAGGCCCTCAATGAAAAATAGAGGAGACATAATTCAAGGGATGTTAAGTTTTTTACATTTTAGGTAATTCCGCAAGTTTTTTGATTCCAGCTGTTATATAATGAACATCTGTTTGAACAGGCAAGGCTTGGATAGGCCTCTATGATCACAGCTGGAAATGGTCCCTGAGTAACAGCAGCTTCTATGGTGAAGCAGACACGGGGTTTAGAAACTGGGCTCCTGGACGTCCCATCAATCCAAATGGTCAACAGAACTGTGTGCTGCTTCTAAACAATTACTATTACTATTACTATTACAATTACAATAACTTCCTTGGAACATGGATGGACATTAATTGCAACATCTACTACTTATCTGTGTGCTACAACGGTGAGTTTTATTATAGCGTAAGAATTAACAAAAACCTAAATAGATCTTCTACATAGCACATTGTTAATAACTTCTCTTATATTTCCAGGTTCAGTAAATGGCACATCATCCTTTGTAAAAGTCAACAAATATTTGAAGTGGACTGAAGCTCAGAGATACTGCAGGGAGAATTATGTCGATCTAGCCAGGTACAGTGTGCACTGATGAAGACTCCAACACATACAATAGTTCAGTACTGAACCAACTACTTAACAACTACTATCTGTTCTGTTGATGAAACTCAGATTATTTAGTATTGTGACAGATGATAGGAATCCCAAATGGATTGGATGATCTTCCCTATTGTTTTATTTGATCTTTTTTTAAATTCAAACCTATTGGTGTTAAGGGATTCCCAAAGGGTCTTTTTCAGAAACTTACAGGTGTGAAAGTTGTGAGAGGATATCCAGGACAGATTAGAGGTGATTTGGTGCCAATATATTCATAAATGAGCAAGCTATTGAAATTATTCACTTGTAATGTGCAAAATTAAGAATTTAATTCATTTATTTATTTTCATGTTTGTTTACAAACTTACAGGTGTGAAATGTTTGAGGGTGGTCACTAGTTATATTAGCAGTGGTTTGAGATTTTTATGTAGAAAAAAAAAAGTTATTGAAGATTGAAATGGATGTGTTGCAATTTGCAGAAGGTCCCTAACTCCCCCTACAGTGACAGGGGCATTTGACAGACATTCAGTGCATTGCGCTCTGGACTGCATCTTTATCTTCAGTGATTTTGAGGTGATCACAACTGTGAAACTTCTGCCTGAATTAACTCTCCAATATATCCCAAAACTGGGAGAAATAGTGATTTTGACAGGGAGGTATTGAAGGTAACAGGCGCGAAAACCGACAAATGTTGAATATTAAACTAACCCCGGTTCTGTTGTTGGCCTCTAAAGAATAAAACGGTTAACATTTGGATCTATGCTGTACGTGAGCCGAGATTAACCCTTACATGTCATCACGTTTTGTGTGCGGTGTCTTCTGGGACAAACCATATTTGGAAGTTCACCTTCTGTCAACTTCCACCAGACCAACCGATCTTAATTAGCAATAAACCGATTAAACTGATTCCAAAATAACTACAACATGATGCAGATTTGTTAAACATATAAATTCATGCTTTGTCTGGTCTGCCAGCAAGACAGCAGGACAACAAATTCTAAAAGTTTGTTTTCTGAATGGAGTTTGGATCGATCAGGGCTATGCTATGCTAACTTGCTCACAGTAAAGTACAATGATAGCTGGAATAAAGTTACAGACACATGTTTTCTGAAATCACCAGGTAGTTCAACCTCCTTGCTTTCTTTTCTCCCAGCAATGTCCAGTTTTGTCTGTTTTTATAAATATATATAAATATGAATGCTAACAACAACACTGGAACCGGATGTGCATGGAAGCTAGCTGCTGAGAAGCTCCAGTGAAGACAAATCAACGTAGAAAGTGTAGCAAACCTAGATCTAGTTATGCATTTTAATAAATTTTTGAGAATTAATACCCAATTATGAATTTTAATATTCATAAAATCAACAATATTCCTCGTTTCAGGGCACCACCGGAGTTGTTATAATCCTAGAGTCTCCAGACCTCTAGGTAGTTTTTAATAATTATACAATTATTACTAGTGATCAGTTAATAATCGCTCAATTATCTTAAATCAGTCAGTCAGTCTCATATCTAAAGGGTCAATTTTCTTGGCAGGGACGTAGAAATAGGCAACACACACAGTTCTTGATTATATTACAGTGAATTTATTCTCTAATGTGATAAAAAGGATGGATGAATACCGGGAAAATAAACAATTGCTGAACAATGAGCCTGGAGGCTCATACGGCATAGGAGAACTAATTAAAGTAAGCTAACGTTATGAGTTTAGGAGTTAAAAGGAAATCTCTGACCACAGAATGTTGGTTAGGTCTTACGGCTTGTCGATGGCCTGCTTTGGCCTGTTGCACGGGTCCCATGCTAGCTGCCGATCCTGGCTTTTTGCTAGGGATTCTCCGGGGTTCTCTGTGTCTGATTGAAGAAAACGCCTCCTCCGTCTGGCAATTCAGCTGTTTTCAGGTTTCCTTCGTTGCCGCTGGCGAGCCCACGTGGCTTGGTCTGACCTCTGTGAAGTTGGCTCGACGGAAAAAGCTTAAAAATGGAACTTGGTCCTGAATGGAACCTGAATTAGTCCAGTGTAACTTAATGGACTGATAACTTTAACAAAACGAAAGAAAGAAAATAAAACAAACTGAGGGACAGATCGATGTCGCGGCACTTCATGTGTGTAGCTTCAAGCGAACAAAAGGCCTGTTTCACTGGCCGAGTCTCAGGGCGTTGCCTGGCGAGGCATGCCGGACGCGTGCCGAAGCGTCCAGAGTGCCCAGAGCCGAGAGAGAGCCAAGGGGGCAAAGAGAAGAGAGCGAACAACGTCGCGTGTCGCTCTTTTGTTGCCTGGGGCGTGGTTCCCCAGAGGGCGTTTCAGGTTTCCCAAGAGACTGCCTTTCTAAACTTAAGGTCTAAAGGAAAATAAATCTATTTGCGCATATAATAATCAAATATTTTCCACAATCTAACCTCAATGGTCAAACAGTTGTACTGTTCTAAGTTAAGCATTTGGTAACAGGAAACAATTGTCACATTATTGGTCAGGATATTTATACATTTAACGGCATTTCCAACGAGGGTATGTAATACTTATTTCGTCCACTTGGGGGATCTCAGGTTACATGAGGAAAGCTTAGATTAATCCAAGATCATCTCTCCTTAGGAACCGGGGAATTATTGTTGATTCATCCTTAAATTCAAGATGGCGATTAAGAGTATAGTAAAACATTCCTTTATCATCATTTCTAAAGGAATTTTGTAAGAAAGTATTATGAAGAAGCATTGATTACATTAGATGAGGGAGTGTCTTGCTGAAGATAAAAACACTGCAAAAGTAATTTATTTAGACTCTTTTCAGCACTAATATCAACAACAGATAGCAACAACTTGTTAACATAACTACTCAAATAGAGGCAAACGTAATCAAGTAACTAAAGATTTAATTAATCTTTGAGTCTTTGGAGACTCCAGTCTTTGGTTATTTAAAGTTCGGCTTTCTGGGTTATGTCACAACTTGGGTGAGACAGGGGTGTCCCTTTGATGGGGTAATAAAACACAGAGAAAGGTCAGTTGCCACGGTTACATGTGTGGGGGGGCCGGTTTTGATAGGCTGTTAAGGGAAATGCTAAATGCTGCCCCGCGTTATCAGCTTCGTAGATCAAAAAGGTGCCAGTTTTATGATCAACTGCCCACGCATAGCACTTAAAGAAAGCAACTTTGACCCCCCCTTCTTCTCCGGGGGAGGAGAGAGTAGCTCCAAATTTATTCAATATAAAATGCACAAATCCACACTGTTGTTCACTACAAAAGTAAAAAGCTAATTTAATAAAAGCAGTTAACTCTGAGCTCCTCCCGCAAGTAAACGGCGTAGTTGTCAGAGCAGAATCCGACCGACTACGGGTGTTTATTTCTCCAATGGTTGCAGCGCTCTCCCCCAAGTTTAGCAGCTCTCAGCCGCCCAGCAGATTTTCAATCCCCCTCTCTGTCCGGACCTCTCCACACATCGCTCTGAAGCCTCAGTGACGTACGGACAATGTCAACACTGATAGGCAATCGCGACTCAGCGTCATGCAACTTCTTCGCTTGAGTTGAAAATATTCAAGTCACGCGAATTCCTTCACGTCGCTTCGCGCCACCAGACAGGAAATCATGGCTTCTTTAAAAGCAATAAAGAATGCCTGAGAGCCTCACTGCATTATATTCTATTATAATTAAATATTTTGAATTGTCCCCTGCCAGATGAATTTTGTGTTTCCCTTTTATATAATAAGACATTTCCACCATAAATTGGTGCAGAAAAGGCAGAAATTGGAGCAGAAATTTTCACCAGAATGCAGGAAGTTAAGTGTTTAATGCTCAAAATCTTCTGGGGGAGAACTCTGAGCTCCTCCCGCGGGTAAACAGCGTAGTTGTCAGAGCATAATCCAGACCGACTACGGGTGGTT